CACTTTTCAATCTATGGGAGTTTTTCTTCTAAATGATTTTTGAACTAACAATATAACTAATGATATCACAAACATTGTTCTTAATAGGGACGATATTGCACTTCACCTGAAGCTAGAAAGTATTGGAGAAACTTTTTATTCTACTATGATATTTTTTATCAATACACAACTGCAACTTTACATTAGATGTCATGGTCGCAGGAGCTTTCTGAAGCAGGAAACTTTAACTATTGGGTCCCTAATCAATAGTTTAAAAGTATCGTGGTCGCTGCGAGATCTTCAGGTCGTGGTCTCGACACATCTCGAGGTTGAAAAGTCCCAGATGAAAACGGAAATCCTATCCAGTGTTCTCCTGTTTTCAACTGATCATTTATGATTATTTTAGTCTGATGAATGACCTTAAGTAACATGTGGATTTATTTTACACTGTAGAAGTTGTTTTGACGTAGTTGATATTATTGAATAGTAAATATTTCGTATTATTTTAGGTTTCTGTGTAAATATGTTTGCAAACAATTCGTACTTGTTTCAAAATATAATCGTTTCTGTTAATTTACATTTACTTACTTAGTTAGTCTCGTCAAAATCTGCTACAGCCGCATTAAAATTAGGTGAAATGCACAAAGCCAAATGTTATCGAGCTGTTTGTTGGTGTCCTCATGGTGGAATTAAAACTGAATTACTTATGAAAATGTTACAGTATACCACTTTGTTAAATCGAACAAATGAAAATCTTGATCATGTAAACATTATTCATTGGCCTCCTAATAAAACAGATTCTATGAAATATGGGAAAATTTATTTTGGTCCACTGGATATTAATCAACTTACACCTATACGTGTATTGCATAGAAGACCATTGTTAAATCGTAAAAGAACCATTTATCATTTATGTTTCATGTCTTATGTGGAAACAATAAAATCTAATATTTTCGAGGTAAAATTATTGATTGATATTGTCTTTTTGTTTATAGTAGTACATATATATGCTCCGAAAACATTGAGAAGCATCTTATCCAATCAGCGTTCACTAGAAGTTTTGCCAGAAACATGTCGAGTTTCTGATTGGATGATTACTTATACTGCTACTATGTTTAGTAGCATTCCAGAATTTTTGGGAAGCCCAAGGATATCTTAAATCCTATAAAAACCCTACATTTTATGTACATAAATGAACCTTTGGAGTAAAGTTTTTCTAACATATTTCGCACCTTTTCTCTCGTATTCAACCCGCTATGTAGTTCTAGTCTGAGGGTTACTAGAAGAGCTTAGGAACCATATCTGGAGTTCAATTAGCAAGACTTATCAATTAACACAAAAGTATTATCATTTTATGTCCTATGTGCTTTAATCAAATCTCATTTCTGCTAACGACTTCTGCAAAACGCTTTTTTTATATCAAGATTGAACCGTTGATTAAATATTTTTAACATAATAAAAAAAACCTCTAAACCATTTGCTTGTAAATAACCTAGACGACATACTGATTCACTCACTGTTAAACGGACGAATTAAATGCCCACTGCTTTTTAATATAATTTTTTCAACTTGAATAAAAATTTACTTTAGATTAGTTTATTCTTGTTAGTATGACAATCATTAATGAATAATAAGCTAACCAATTCCTTTCTTATTGAAACAGTCTATTCTTAGTATTTGTACAAGTAAGGAGATAGTAAAAAGGGTACATTGTCTTACTTCGTAAGTTACTATCACAAATGGAATCAATAAAAAGTTTAATAAACACCGCAAACTATGAGCATTGCCCTGGCTAGTATTCTTTTGAGTGATCTTAACTGTACCACTTATAAGATGTTTACATAAGTGCTTTCTAATGATTTTTAATAGGAACCTAGTGATTTCTTCGTACGACTAGTTTTTCCAATTTTTTAAATAAGTTATTGACATATGTTTCTGTCAATTACTTTATTATTAGTTCGGATACATATTTGTGAAATCAGTTCATCAAAATGAATGATTGGACTTAGATATTACATCTTCAGTTGAATTGATTTCGTGGTACATCTTGTTCTCTTGTTGAACCGAAATATGACTCATCAACTCATATTTAAACTAGACCACTGAAAAACATAACTATCTAGCCCCTGAATTTTTAATCTTGAATAATGTCATAATCTTACATTTCTTTTATGCCTGAATATTAAATATTCCGTTATACCTGTACAGGTATGATCAGAATTGGTCTATGAACATAATCAAATAGATGAATATCATACATAAGCTTCATGAACTGCAAAACAATACACAATTTGCTATGTTTGCAGCGACTACGAGTTCACCTAGTCTGAGAATGGAACAAAGACTCTGTAACTAAAGACCAATAAGCTAGCTATTCTGATGAGTCCCAGCCCCGCTCAATAGAGAGAGAAGTCCAAGTTCGAAACGGTGAAATATATTCCGCAAGCAGCCAGAAGCATGAGCAATAACAACAGGCACAAATCAAACGTATATATACTGTATAAAATTGTCCTTGGGAAGTGTTACAGAATAACATACTAAAAAATACAAAGAACCAATAGCGTTTAAGATTCTCCCAAGTGGGAAATACGACATGAAGGTGAAAATGAGCACTTTTGGAGCGAAAACAATTAATTCAACTTTTTAAAATAAAATTACAAAAATAAGGTATTTACTAAGTGAGTTCTGGGGACCTAACATCCCCAACAGAATCCTAGTTGTGAGAGATATTGTAAATTCCCCATACGGGTAAAAAAAAACGGTATGCACATTAGCAGTTTATCATTAAATACTATCAATTGATAGTAGACTTTATAATTTCAACATTAGGTACAACTTAAAATGAATCTCCAGAACCCAAGCAAAATGTCTATTAATAATTTCTGATTTTATCTAAAAATAAACTTTAAAAGTATGAGCTTCATTTCTAACTTAATGTTCCAGACAAATATTTGTTTGTTTCACGATATATTGTACATCTACTTGTTTTCTATATTCATAGTTCGATGATTTTAAATCATGGTCAAAACTATATCCAGAAGATGAACTGTTCATATTAGAAATTCGTTGTGAAGCTGGCACCTATGTGAAAGAACTTGTTCATGGAGATCTTGGCCGATGTAATCCTAGTTTAGCAAGTATATTTGGTTGTCAATTAGATATATTAGCGTTGGATGTAATTGGTGTTGAACTTGACTGGCCTACACGTCTTAAAGATCCTATACTCAATTAATTTGTAAAGTGAAAATATTTTTATTGTAAAAAACTTATTTTTAAGAGAAACGTAATTTCTTTATCAAGGCATTGGATATTCCATAATCGTTGATGTGCAAGACCAAATTGATTGGTTTCACTTATCACATTCCCAGCAATATTTTTAAGGCATCTGTGGTCAAATATTAGTAGCTTACGAGTATCTTCTACTCTTAATGGCCGCATTTCGCAGTATACTCGTCCTTTTATTGATAGATAGATATCTCGCCTTCGCCATAGGTGACGTAAGTTGGCGAAAGACAAACGAGCTGTTTGAAGCCGTGCTGATATTTCGTCAGACACCAACCCATTTAAGCTGATCAGACTTCCTAGGTAAGTGGAGTTGTCAACGCGTTCGACTACTTCACTCCCTATCCTTAGTTCAGGTGTTGACGCAGACCAGTCCTGAAGCAACAACTTGCGTTTAGAGGATGAGAAGCTCATCCCAAACATTCTGGCATTGTTGCTCAGTGTTATCAAGACTCTGCATTTTATCAGCGTCATCTCGATTGCTAAGTGGATTCCCTGGAAGGAGATCAATGCCCGAAAATTCAGTCGATGAGAACGTTATTTCCATCAGTATGCCTATGTTGAAGTGGAATAAAAATGGAGAAAGTCGACAGCCTTGACGGATACCACTTGAGGTTGCAAAATCAGATGACAGTTCGCCGTAAGCCCTCACTCGACTAGTAGTGTTCGAGTAAAGATCCTTCACAAGGTTTATGTACTTCTGAGGTACACCTTTCAATGACAGACATTGCCACCTATCGGTCTACAGAGTCGAATGCTGCTTCTAATTCAAGAAAGACCACCATTGTCGGACGTCGATAAGTATGCCTGTGTCCTAGAACCTGACGAATGGTGAATACGTGGTCGATGCAGCCACGACCAGGTCTGAAGCCAGCTTGGTTCTCTCGTGTTTGCAGTTCACGAGTCTTAGTTAGGCGTCCGATAATTATCGAGGCTAGTATTTTAGATATTATATTAGTTAAACTAATCCCTCTGTGATTGTCACAGGATGATTTTGACCCTTTCTTATATATTGGGACGATAAGTGATTGCGACCAGTCAGATGGAATAACGTCTAACTCTCAGATCTTAGCTAAAAATTAGTCAACCTAGTCGCTAAAATTGGACCACCATCCTTAAAGACCTTTGGAGTTAATCCATCTGGGCCAGCTGCTCTTCCTCATTTCAGATTGTTTATAGCTTTTGGAACTTATATTACAGTCGGAAGACCTATTTTAATGTTCGATTCAGGCTGTTTGGAAATAGTGAATAGTTGTAAAGTAGCTGAACTGCATCTTAAAGTTTTCCATCCAGTTTCAAACGTCTAGACTGAGAGCATGTAAAAGTGCCGTCATTCTCCGTGATTGTCTCACTCAAACTTAACTTCCTAAATCCGGTTTCTTTTATTAGTCTGAAAAGCTGTCTTGTGTCACCTACATCTAGTGCCTTTCCCATTTATTTTGCTTTCGTTGCCAACCACTTACGATCGTTTCGTAGACTTTTGGTTAGCTTAGATGTGATTTGTTTTCGCTCTTCATCGTGTCTGGAGCATGATAGGATAGGTTTACGGTAGTCTATCAGTGCAATAGAAGTCGCAGAAATCTACTTTTTTTCCGTAACCCTTTGGTTCAGATCACTAAAAAATGTCGTAGCTGTTCGTACATCTTCTCAAGCAACATCTGGGTCAGCCTCGTTTTCGAAATTGCCTAAGTGTGGCTTCAGTTGTTCCTGAAATTTAAATTTGGCTTTTATAATCAAAACTTTCTGATGGTTTTATTCACAGAAGATTTACAATTGAATAGAAATAAACAAACACTGTTGAATGTATTTTGTACAATTGCGCATAACATTACACTCTAATGTAATGTAAATATTTTTCGGAAAAAAGACGTGGAAAATAACAGAAATTAATCAAAACGTCCTTGAATGTATCCAATATCGCAATTCAACTGGACAATTCGGATAAGTATCTAAACAAGCGGTGAGAAAATCACTGTCTACATAACAAAATAATGGACGATAATTTGGTAAAGTAGATGATGAACTCCAAATGGCCTTATTGTTGGATCCAGCGGTTGATAGACCAGTGGATGCAGTGATTGCAGCTTTACCAGATATAATCAGTTCAAAGTCAATTAGATTGTCTAATGCTTTCATAACAACCGGTTTATCGTATAAATGACCAGGACAATTGGAACGACAAAACTTTAAGTATTCTAAGAAAAAAAGTAGAAGAAAACTGAAATACAGAGATAGCTGGGAATAAAAATAATAATTGTAGAATAACGTATATAATTTGATTATACCAAATATGAAAGTTCATGCTTCCCAAAATAAATTTGCATGACTCAGTACAGTCATAGTAGTGTGGTGTGAGCTACTTATATTGATATAAGTAGTATATAACGTGCGTTAAAAGAGCGTAATGTCCGGCAGCAGAAGATGGCGAAGATCAAGAAAGGAAGAGCAAGAGCACAATGGAATTGTAAGAAAACGCATGTACAATGGAATGGGAGACAATGGATTAGTGTTTGCAACGGGAACAGTACAGTTTGATATGATGGAATGATATTTTGCAAATTGACAATTGACTTTATGGTATTAACATTTTACTGTGATAGTCTGTAATTTCTGCGCTAAATACAATCGATTGTCCCCACCCGTGTTCTTGTTCACTACAGTAGTAGTTTGAAACAGTCATTCAGTTCTTTCGATTATAACTGATTAGTCGGTTACTGAATTATACATAATGGTCATCGAATAATCCAGAAGCTCTCATTAACATCAACAGTGCTAATATGATTCGAAAAAAGTGTCAGATGAATCAGTCCATTTGTTATAAACGCTGTCAGACACTTTAATCTTGGTAGTAATGGATGAGGCTTTAGGTTATACTGGTATAACAATGAATAAGATTTCCATGCATTACAAGTAACACTTATTATAATCCTTATTTGTAAACCTTCAAAACAAAACAAGATGTTTAGAAAGTGGTGCATTGATAAGTCAGAGAATGATAAAAAGACAACCAAGTATAAATCCACGTACTCTATTTTAAACTAAATTTACTGTACAAGATCGAAAGGTTTTGCTTGGCTTATTTATTTATTTAAACAAGGAGGCACTGAATATATATATATATATATATATATATATATATATATATATATATATATATTCGATTTATGTGAGCTGGGGTACTGCTCGAGAGCCCAAACCGAAGAACGTAATCTTAGAAGGCCACTACCCGAGCCTTTAACCTAGAGGTCTAATGCACAAGACAGTGGAGCAACGTCAGGAGATGCGGTCCCATGGTAGCCAGTGACCAACGATTGGTTCATACGCCATTTGTCCCCTTAGGATCCTGGAGTCAGTATGCATCAGTGATTTGGAATCAGGGTTTTCCAACTCCCCTAGGTGGATACGGAGTATCCACCAACTCGGTTAAATTGCCATACATTCGCTTTCTGTCCTCTCAATTTCGTAAACAACATCCGCACCACGAGAAGGCAGTGAGTAGGACTTCCCTGATAGTGGCTACATACGCGTGGCCATGTGATAGCATTTTGAGAGGAAGAATGGACTCTCCAGACACGGCCGTTCTAGGGCATTCGGGAGCTATTATATATATGAGTTAAGAAAACCTCTTTATTACTTTTCTACCGTTAACAATTTTGTTACTGAATCATACCAAAACACAATATTTAAGTATTGATTTGTAAAAGACTAACTTACCAGAATACAAACTCTCAAAGTTAACCGGTTTTCCATCATTCATATCTTGAAGTTTGACCATGGCAGTAATTAAAAATAGCTCCAATACGGAACAACCTATTGAACACGAATAAAAGTAAATAACGTGTTTCTATGTAAATGCAAGGTTTTTAATAAAATCTTGATTCCAAGGAAATATAATTCAACTCAACAACCATGTAGATATTTGCATCTACAAGTTTGCTGTAAAGATACACTAGAATGCTAACTGTGCTGTCTGACTGCTCGGTCTTTCTTTGACAAAGAAAATTTGGAACCAGTGATGCACTGGTTGAAAATCGACACCTGCCATTTGAAGAATAAAAATGACGATAAAAACAAATGCTTTTATCATGTCATTTCATCATTAATTTATGAGCATAAAAGTTGGCATAATTGTTTACAGTATGAATAACAAGTAAATAATATTTGGAACACGAAGCTCAATAATTAGCCGTTTGACATTTTGAAAAGTTTGGTTGGGATTTCTCTTTCGCGGTTTCGTGATTAAACATTAAATTACGTCGCCTTACTTGCCCCAATATATGAAATCTATTATTCCATCACAGAATCACCCCAATATTAACCAGAATGTCAATGTAGCTTTATTGTTTCTTGATGGATAATACTTCATTAACAAAACATGTCAGCAAAAAAAAGCAGTGCACAATAAATAAATACTGACCTTAAATTTTTGATTTAGCCAAACATTTAAGTCAATAAAATACAAACATGGGTCACGATAATGTGATCCTCAAAAATGGAGAGCTGAATAAAACTATTCAAATGTATCTCTTCCTATTTTTGTTAGATAACTGAACTACTTCACACTGTAATCGAACAACAATAAACGGAGTTGCAAGTAAAATGAAGTAACTTTCTACATAACAAAGAATCCACATAACTTTACGAATCACGATAACTACTGTGTTGGTCAATAAAAAAATCAGTGATACAATTTTTTGGGGCGAATCAATAAGCAGGATTTGATTCATTTATAAATTCCCATCCCCACTACATATAATTTGGTATTTTTGAAATCTTAGCTACTGTATAAATGAGGAGAAACATATTCCCTGAAAACTTGACTGTAGCAATGTTATACTAATGATAACCAAGCTATTTTTGATACTAGACAATGATATTCGTTGTTTCAATAGAAATAAACAAAATTTGTGGGACACTCACCCTTCAGTGCAGTGAGCTTTGAATCTTGTTGTAATGTACATAAAGATTCTATAAATTGCACTGGTTCAATACGATCGTGTTCAGGTCCAAGCGAAGCAACTATTGGAATCTGTTCAAATGAACATGGAAAGTATTGATTTGAAAGGAACAGTACGACTTACTACACAACTGAAAAATAAATGTGTTCACGCATGACAATCAGACATTTTTCGCTACAAATGTATTACTTAGTAGCCTAATACATTTAAAACACTGTTGGTAACCAGTCAATCATGAATTTGGGTATATTAATCAACATACATCAGATCAACTGGGACAATAATACTGTTCAAATGATAAAAATTATTAGACAAAATAAGAAACATCGAACTAAATGTTCAATAATCTTTTAAAAAATCATACTTTTATCAATTTGGCATCAGTAAACAACTTGGTAGAATAAATACTTATTAATTTTGGTGGTCAAACATCAAGAAAGTAAGTTGAGGACAAAGAAACAATTTCAATTTACTTAATTTTATAAATTGGATAGCATGATACTAATGACAGGACTCAGCGACCAACCAATTGAAAATATCTTTCCCATATGTTGATGATTGCCCAAACAGCTTAGTGGTAACATTTCATACTACGAAGTTGGGTGATGAGTGTTTTAATTTCACGGAACAGGGTATTAGTTCCTGCAAAATCGTAGATATGCTTTGCTGACGAGTACTCAAATAGCAAGAAAATCTGGTCAAGTAAGGTTTCTTGTTGGTTACATCTCTAGATACTATATGGTCAGTAACTTACTACTTTGGAAAAGCTAACTTCAAAAGCGAAATCTAGACATAGTTTGTAGTTATTTAATTAGTCTACAAACCTCTTCATCACTAACAAATACACAAATAAACCTAAATACAAGTAGATATTGAGAAAAAAGCTAATTAAACATTAATACGTAAAAAAAAAGAAAACACAAGTGGAAGGACGTAAAAACACCGTCTAACCATTGAAAACAACAATAAGAATTTAGTGGATACATGAACAAAACGTACCAACAAATTGACCAAACGTTTAATGCTCACTGAAATAGACCATGCTTGTCTTAACGAATCAATTACAATTTCATCAACCATTAATTTTGTAATATGATGATTCCACGATTTAATTGACAACTCTAATTCATGATACTCTTTAGAGTTGGATTTACACAATAATGGTGATAATTGTGGTGGTAAATCATGAATATCAACACTTAGCAAATGTTTACAAATTTCACAAAATCGTTTAAATGGTTCAGATCGTGAATTATTGTTACTGTCGTTGTTGTCAGATGCATAAGAATCAGTATTCTCAATCGGTGCTCCAGGCGATGTAAGATAAATTTGACGGTGTGAGAATCTTGATTTAACTCGTTTTTCTAATAATTCCATAACATCCTATGTTATGTGGAGAAAATAAAAAAAGGCGATATAAATATTGAATTCTGAAGTAAACTGATTCAAAAGAACACTCGGAAATAAACATCGTTATATGATTGTTAAGTTGACTACATATATTAGGGAAATATGAAAAAAGACAGGTTTATATCGCTAGTAAGGATATTTAATAACAATAAATGAGTTCAGAAAATAGACTATTAAGTACACCGATAGAATTGAACTTGACGATAAAACTCCGAACAAAACAGAACGAAATATATAGAATATGGTTTGAACTCATAACCTGAATCTGTACTAAGATGACTGAATAATAATCCCTATTAGGAATTGACATTTGGTGTGTTGTCAGCAGGACGTAAATTGGGATTAAAGTACATTCATGAAGAATTATGTTTGAGCACGTTGATTGGTTTGTTCTTAGCCAATCAGCGCCAGTGGATAAACTGAAAGACTAAAGTTTTCTTGTGTAAAATTGTAAATATATTGATGTTTTTTTTAACTGTAACTCACTTCTATTCAACTTGGTTTATTTGGAATATAATTACGTACCTTTCCAAACCACGTTCTGATTTGAGGGACTAGTTGAGTGAGGTAAAGTGTCCGATGAATATTAAACGATAAAATCATCTGATTCGGATAACAATACTTAATAGCTACACAGTTAATAATATGGGTTAGGACATCGACTTATCTATTTCATCGAGATGAATTTGAACATCACATACGACCACCACATATTGTGATCCAATTCGTTTACAACATACAAGATTTATGCACAAGGCTATAAGCACCACAATTTAGTTGTTCGGGAGATAGTAACCAACAATGGGTCCCTAAATCAAGCAGGTGGAGTTGGTTTTTTAATCTGTAACACCTGTTGTGATTGGAAGTCAAGTACCTTTAACCTTTAGGAATAGTTCAGGACAATATACGAAAATATCAAACAACTTTTGTGAATTTATTTTACTAAACGTAAAAAGTGCTTGGGAATTCACACAAAAAATCAACTGGAGATGATGGATAGCCTGTTACAGAATGTGTTGAAAAAAAGTGTTACATTCAAGATGAATCTCACCACAACTAGTTTTTTGAGAAATTGTTTTGAATTTTAGAAAAGTACTAAAAACTTACTAAACGGCATGTTAGTCCAATGATACAAATACGAGATTCAGGAGATTGACAACAATCGAATAAATTGTACAACAACAACTGATTATGATGTAAAGCAAAAAGATCAAATTCACTCAGGACAATTAGAACAGCTTTTCGAGTTCCATGATTTTGACGGACCTCATTTAAGAATAAATTGAGCTGTTGAGAAAAAGGCAAATTTTTCATACTGTTGTGAGAATCAGAAGTTGGATTAAAGTCTGATTGGACTAGATTATTTAATAGGGCTTCATTATGTAGTTGTTTAGCTAGTGATTTCATAGCAGAACGATCGTCTGTATGAATTAAACCTACGTTAAGCGAAATCACTAGTCATAATCACAAATAATACTAACCGTTTAAGTAAACTTCAGAAATTCCAGAGCCAATATTTGAGTTTTCTTTTGCTTTCTTTATTGCTTCTTTGATTAGCTAAAGCCATAAAATATACATACTACATAAAATTACATGATGTTTACCAACACCTCTTCTACCAATTATCAATATAGAGCTACTTTCACCTTTTGAAACTGTGGATGTGATAAGGTCCTGTAAATATTTCAACTCTTTATCAAAATACAGAAGGCGATGTTGATTTCCTCTTAATTTTATGCGTAGTACATCACAAATCAGATCCATCTGTATTGATCAACTAGGTAGAATTTTACGAACTATAGTCTTCACTGTATTCGGTCAATGAGAAGCTAAAGTAAGTACAAAAGTGGTTGAGGTGTATATAAGATTCTGAAAATGTGAATATTGAAATTAAAAATAATTTGTGAGTAAACTACTAATCGAGAATCAATTAAATCGGAAGTTACCAGGATCTGCGTTAATGCTGACTGGTTACTAATTGGTATCATCAGAAAGAGTAGAATAAGCAACGACTCTAACATCTTTTCGTAAGTTGATTAATCAAAACAGTTATCTGAGAATACATGGATGTTCATATATGACGGATAATCGATATAGCTACTCCTCGACAACCGCTGACATTGTACATGATCATGACTACTGTTCTGTTAGTAGCGACTTTGTGGAGTTAGCAGTTTTAAACATTACTGATAATCAATGAGCAAATGACCATTTCTTGAATTCAGACAGGACTCATGCGTTAAAAGCTATGTCTCGTCGAAATATCCTCAATTCTACTAATAAAGGCGAGACTCTAATTTATGGACGAGCCAATCAGAAGCGTTTTAAAGATTTCAAGTTTACAGCGCCAACTTCAGTGCTTAATGCTAACGTACGATCGGTTCTCAGGGAATTTTGTACAAAACGTGATAAATGAGCGGCTATAACAAATACAACGGCGAGACTATAATTTGTGGGCCCCCCTGAATGCCCTGGTACGGCCGAGTGGGGAGAGTCCGCTCTCCCTCTCGAAATACTCTCACACGGCCACGCATATACAGCCTCTGCCAGGGAAGTCCTACTCATTGCCTTCTCGTGGCGGGGGTGTTGTTTACGAAAATGAGAGGACGAAAAGCGAATGTCCGGCGCTTTAACCGGATCACAAACCCAGTGGTGCACATGGGCTCCAGTATCCTGCGGGAACGAATGGCGTATGAACCAATCGTTGGTCACCGGCTACCATGGGGCTGCATCTCCTTACGATGCTCCACTGCCTTGTGGGTTAGACCTTTAGGTCAAAGGCTCGGGGAGTGGCCCCCTAAGATAACCACCTGCTTCGGTTTGGGCACCCGGGCAGTATCACAGCCCACACACAAATTGATGAACTCTTTATGCCTATGGAAATTACCTTTCTCGATTTGAAAAACAAACAATTGATTCAGATTATTATCATTACAATTATTGTCATTATTAATACTAATATTATTATTACTACTATTATTGTCATTATTGTTATTATTATTATTTTCCACATTATTCACCCTCTTTTATACCTATACAGCGGCTCGTCTTTGGTGGAAATTCGACTGTATCTAAACGTTCTCGAGTCACTGTCCGGTTGAAAATTGTATGTTACCACCGAATACGAGGACTGAAGCAGATTTTCTGAAACCACGTGCACCAATCAAACTGGCTGCCTTCAACGTTCGCACTCTTATGCAGGTCGGACAACAGATAGGGCTGGCTATGTCTTTGGAAAGTCTTAATATTGATGTTTGTTGTCTATCCGAGACCCGTATTCAAGACTGTGGTGAGGTACTACAAATTCGATCTCCATCTGTCGCTTCGAAAAGCTTGTTTCATGTGCGTTTATCCGGGGACCTCGTGGCATCTTCCTCTGGTTTGACTGGCGTTGATGTCGCACTAAGCGCTAGAGCTGAGGCAGCACTAGTCGATTGGATCCCCATTAACAGTCGGTTATGTGCTGTTAGATTAGAAAGTTCCATCAAAGTGAGAAGAAATCGGCGTGAGAAACGATGTCTTTTCGTCATCTCCGCCCATGCCCCGACAGATTGCAGCCCGGATGCAATCAAGGATGAGTTTTACCACCAGTTATCAGTTCTTCTCCAGAAAGTGCGTTCGACAGATATTGTAGTACTAGCCGGAGACTTGAATGCTCAGGTCGGGCGTCTAGGCACAGAAGAGAGTCGTTTAGGTGGCCGATGGGGATTCGTTGGTCGCAGGTCAGATAACGGGGCCCGTCTACTGCAACTGTGCACAGTCCACAACCTGTTTCTGGCTAGCACTAACTTTCGGCACAGTCATCGCCGATGTGCCACCTGGCGTCCTCCCTCTGCATCTCAAGCCTGGACTCAGATTGATCACATCGCGATCAACTACCGCTGGCGTGGTTGTATACAAGACTGCCGCTCCTTTTGGAGTACCTATCTGGACTCTGACCATGCCTTGGTCTGCGCCAATCTTGCCTTACTTTTCAGTGGACAACGAAGTGAACGCCATCAACGGATTGATGTTAGCAAGCTGGTTGCAACTTCTGTTGCAAGTAAGTATCGAACCGAGCTAGCCTCTAGGCTAGCTACTACTCCACCGAAAAGTATAGATGAGCATTGGTTGCAATTGCGTGACGCCATGAAAATGGCGGGAACAGTCAATTGTGGCTTCGCGAAACGTCCCGCTTTTAAGCACTGGGTTTCTTCTGGTTCCTTACAACTCATTGAAGCCCGTCGGTCTACTCCGGGTGACCGTGAGTTTGACCATAAACGAAGGATGTTACGTAAGGAAATCGGGCAAAGCTTGCGTAAGGACCGAGAAGCCTGGTGGTCGATGCGTGCTAATGAGCTGGAAGCAGCAGCTGCATCTGGTAACTACCGGAAGCTCTTCCAGCTCATCCGAGCCACTAGCAGCAAGAAGTCTGGTGTGAGTGAAACAATCTGCGAGGATGATGGGATGCCAATCACTAACATCCATCGACGTCTTGGACGATGGGCAGAATTTTTCGAAGGGCAGTTCAACTGGCCTGCTGCTCCGGCAACACCGGTCAGACTGTCCTGCCCTCCATGGCCGGTGACGACTGATCCACCAAACGAGGAGGAAGTCCGCAAGGAACTCCAACTCTTGAAGCGTTACAAATCACCTGGCCCAGATGACTTACCTCCGGCTCTTTTTAAAGATGGTGGTGACTTTTTGACTAAGGAATTGACGACGTTGTTTACAAAGGTTTGGGAACTAGAGAGTGTACCAACGTCATGGAATGAGTCGATAGTTGTCCCTATCTTTAAAAAGGGTTCACGTCGTTCTTGTAACAACTATCGGGGGATAAGTTTACTTCCGATTGCGTCCAAGCTATTGGCTTCCGTCATTCTTCGTAGGTTGTTCAAAACCCGAAAAAGATTGACTCGCGAGGAGCAGGCTGGGTTTCGTTCTGGTCGAGGATGTATTGATCATATCTTCACCCTCCGCCAAATGTTAGAACACCGCCATACTTTTCAAAGGCCAACAATCGTAGTGTTTCTTGACATCAGGGCTGCCTTCGATTCGTTGGATAGGACTGTTCTCTGGGATTGTCTATTGAAGAAGGGTGTGCCTGAGAAGTTTATTAACATCCTAAAAGCCCTGTATAAAAACACCTCAGGCAGAGTGAGGGCATACAACCACCTCTCTCCATTGTTCCATTCGAGCAGTGGGGTTAGGCAGGGTTGCCCAATCTCACCATTCCTCTTCAACTTTGCCATCGATGACATTCTGGAAACAGCTCTGATGAATGTAAGTAATGGTGGTGTGGATCTGTTGCCTGGAGAAAGACTTCTCGACCTTGAGTATGCGGACGATATTGTCTTACTGTGCGATAATGCCCAAGGTATGCAATCCGCACTTAATCAGTTGGTAATCAGTGTCCGTAGGTATGGTATGTGCTTTGCACCTTCGAAGTGCAAAGTACTTCTACAAGACTGGCAGGATTCTAATCCTGTACTCACCCTGGACGGTGAGCAGATAGACGTAGTTGAGAAGTTCGTGTATCTGGGTAGCCGCATAAGTGCTGGTGGGGGTGTGAGTGATGAGATCAATGCACGAATAGTGAAAGCCAGAGCGGCTTATGCCAATCTGGGCCATCTTAGGCGCCTTCGTGATGTTAGTCTGGCTGTAAAAGGCCGGATCTACAACGCGTCGGTAAGAGCAGTTTTGCTCTATGCTTGTGAAACCTGGTCTCTCCGAGTTGAGGACGTTAGACGACTCTCTGTGTTCGATCATCGCTGTCTCCGAAGGATTGCTGACATTCAGTGGCAACACCATGTCAGTAATGCAGAGGTTCGGCATCGTGTGTTCGGGCACAGAGATGATAACTCAATTGGTGTCACCATCTTGAAACACCGACTTCGGTGGCTTGGACATGTTCTCCGAATGTCGTCCCAGAGAATTCCACGTCGTGCATTATTTGCCGACTCTGGGACTGGTTGGAAGGAGCGGAGAGGTGGTCAGTGCATGACATGGTGTCGTGGCATGAAAGAAAGCTGCAAAGGACTGGCTTGTGTTGGTCCTTCACGACTCCCTGGTTGGGGTCCGAGAGATGGTGCTACACAGTGGCTAGAGACGTTATCAGATATGGCTCAGAATAGAAGCCAGTGGCGATCCTGCTGTAACCTTCTTTTACTTTCTTCATAAAAAGTGGTTGTGTCTCCTTTACCTGAAAGATTTCTTCTGATTGTATATTTTCGTTCCGTCGTTACTACCACACTACCTTACTCCAATCTTTTCGTCATTGTTCTCTTTTTCTTTTGCGTTCCTTAGTTTTTTTTCTCTTTCTACTTCTCTTCGAATTCCCATTGTTTTGTGTGGCGCATATATATTGGCGCTCTCTTGTACCAATATTTATGTGTTCAAATAAATAAATAAATAAAACTATAATTTGTGGACGAATCAATCAGGTACAAGATAACGCGAAAGCCTTTCATCCATTTGGCTAAATAAATTTCTGGCATTAGAGCTGATGTCAGTTCGTGATGAAAACCCCATATATGATTCCAAACTACGCAAATTACAACAATTATTGCTAAACAGATAATAAAAGCACCAGTAACATTAGTTGCAATCAGGTACCACAATATATACGGATGTTTGGAGAGCGTACAGACTCCTACATAGGCTTGGTTATGGCATCGTATCGTTATTCACAAGTAGCATTTTGTGCACTCAACAATCGGAGTGCACATAAACAATATTGAAGCTATATGGTCGAGGCTGAAGGAGTTTTTGAGACTTTATCATGGTTCCAGAGGCCGACTACTCTGTAGCCGTATGGACGATTTCCTCTACTGCATGCATTACGATTTTAGAACCTATGAACCTCTTTCTAACCTTGACAAGTTTTTGAACCACGTATAAGAATTGTATCCACATTATTTTCCTGATTATGTATAACATATTTCTACTTTATATTGACTGTTTGCTAATTAGCTAATATTTCTCAAGGTCACTGAAGATTCGTTCAAGGGTCGTCCATAAATTAGTCTCGTCAAATACATTAGTCAGACATTGAAAAAACACCCTCAAGCAGTAATTTAGAAGTAGAAATGATCAAATCTGTTTTTTACTACTTTATCTTCACATGATATTGTCACAGTATCAGAGCAACAAAAAGGTCGGTAGACACAGTAACTGCTCGTACTCAAATTTTTCTAAGCCCTGCTTGCAGTCACAACCAGGAAGGAAAGGTAAAACATGTAGATTATTTTGTCACACAAATTTGATACAGTGGTTGAGAAGAGACCTAAATGTATTAATATCACGACTTCATCGTCTACATGTGCGAAAACTCATCAGTGGGACACATTACTAATAAAGCAATAACATCCTACTAGGTTTTGTTGGGAAGGCCATTTGATCGGGAACAGAAGAGCCTGATTTAATTTTAAAGATCGAAGTCAGATGATTTGTTATTGAAAGAATAACAAAACGATCAGACTATGTTTTTTACTTTAGGAACCAATTTTCTTTCGTTACACTTAGGTTGGTCATCATTAATCAAGGCATAGAAAAATTTCATGATTAAGATTTCGAAAATGCCCTTAACAGGGATATAATGCGAAACACAGTTGTGAGTTCCCACTGTACTCGGGAATTTCCTTTAGCATCTCCACGTCTGACTAGCAACAACTAAACCAGAAGTTTGTCGCAAGTCTACACAGAACTGAGTTTCCTTAGAACATTAGGTAGGGCAGAAAAAACCACGATGTTAAATGCAAACCTGACCAAGAGCAAACATCAATTAGTAGAAATCAAACCCTTGAGAACTACAAAACAGTGGCCTCAAATACGAGGAATTAAAAGACAGGGCAAGATCATAATCTATGGACGAACCAATCACATATAGGACAACTCACACAAGCATCCACCTAAATACGGTAATAATAACAAGTACTTGTTATTTTGAGAAAGTCCCCTAAGTTTTCGGGTTTTTGTGTCATTTCCCCAAAATTTTCTATAGCGGCTTTCCTACAATTTTCCCAAAACGGATAAAATTTTCCCCAAGATTTGGAGACTGAGAAGCCCAGAAATGATAGATATGAAACAAAATGCAGTAAAACGTTACGATTTTTGTGAAGACGATCCAACGTTTCGCATAGGCTTCGGTCCATGTAATTATTCACTAAGTACCTGTCATATTGTGTGGTCCTTAAATTTAAGGACTCTGGTTAGCGATATAACTAGCAGATTAGAGATACTGTGTTGATATGAAAATAATAAAAGAGAGTCAATAAGAGCCAAAGAATACAGATAAGACAGTATTTCAGTGGTATCGCCTACTGACTGAAGCTACTAAGCACTTACTTAGACCCTACTACTTCACAACGCGCGCTTATCGCTTTCTTGAGTATCTTTGAGGTATTCAAACGTCATCTAAACTTATCGAGGGTATGAATAACATGCAAAGTTGTCACTGAGAAACATCGAGTCAAATATATTTAAGAGGACAATAGTCTTTTTTCTCGTTGAGTTAAATTAACTGATTTGATTGTAAATTACGCGTCAAAACTATTGTTTACACTGTGGAGATATGACTGACAAGCTTATTTTGCAAATAGCTTTTATTAGTATTTGTATTCATTCTGTCAACCTTTCACTGTATGTATATTTAACATTAATGACTGTAACTGTTGTTTTGGTAAATGACCTTAAACACACTTTCCGTTGTGATACTGACGTAGCGTGACAAACTCTTGCTGGCTAACAAATACACTACTACTCACACATTCCTCGTTCTATCTTCGTTTGTGATTGAATTAACTGAAGTCTAAATCAAATACTACCTATATTTATAGACTGTAATTGGAATATATCACATCCTACGTTGGATTATATTACTGGGGAGTTCGTCAACCAGATCGGAATTACCAAGCATTTATAAATGTGGTTTCTTAGTACCATAACAAAGCCGAACACGCATCAATCTGGTGGACTTAAGTAAAGTCCCAACTTTCTATTGTATTTGTAATAAATAACTTATATTGTGGTGGACCAGACGATATATAAACGCAAAACGTATCAACAAAGTTAATAAAGATCAATAGAAATGTTAATATATATAGGTTAAGGTAGTGATGGTATTCCCTCGTTACTGTAACACGAAAATGCAGAATTACTAGATGAATCAGATCGGGCAAAAAGCTGAGACATTTCAAACTATTTTAGCGAAGTCTACCTTTATTGTAACAAATACTTGTCCCACTCACACCGAGATACCAACCATGGAATCTGTACAGGTGACTGAGGAAACTGTCCTTCCGTTGATAACTAACCTCAAACCTGATAAGACGCCGGGCCCTGATGGGTTACATCCACGGTTGCTGTCATCTCTTGCGGACATTATTTCAAAACTGCTCGCGACACTCATCAACATGTCCATTTCACACGCTTAACTACCTAGAGATTGGAAAGACGCTAAAGTCAGTCCTATATTTAAGGATGGTCAGAGACAGATAGTACCTAACTACCAGCCTTTCAGTCTAACTAGCGCTGTTGTTAAGTTGCTTGAAAAGATAATTCGGGTTAGGTTGCTAAGCCACATAGATTTGCACAATCTGTTAGCTCCTGAGCAACAGGGATTTCGTAACAAGCCTTCATGCTTAACTAACTTGCTTATTGCGAGGGAGGATTGGACAGCAGCCTTAGATAACGGTCTGTCGGTCGATGTGATATTCATAGATTTTAGCAAAGCATTTGACAAGGTTTCACACGTAGGTCTTATGCAGAAGCTCACGAGCTTCGGAATAATAGGTACTGTTCGTGAGTGGATAGGAAATTTCTTATGTGACCGCAGACAGAGAGTGAGGGTCAACGGAACTCTATCCGATTGGAAGCCGGTCAAAAGTGGTGTACCCCAAGGCAACATCTTAGGCCCTCTGCTCTTCCTTCTCGACGTTCATGAGTTGCCGCTGTTACTTAGGTTGTCGACATTATTGTCTGCGGATGACGTAAAAATCTGGAGAACAATAAAAAATGCGGTTGATCATCTGGATCTTCAAGCTGACTTAGACAATTTACAGAGATGGGCTCGAGGGTGGGGCTTAAAAATCAATGCTAGGAAGACTGTGCTAATGCACATCGGTCACGGTAATAGTTACCATTATACTGTTGATGGTAAACCTCTTCCATGAGTTCAAGAGCATAAAGACTTAGGAGTTATAATAAGTGATGACTTAAAAACAACTACGCATTGCAAAGCAGCCGCTGTCAAAGGTTTTCGTGCGTTATGGTCACTTCGCCGGGCGTTCAAATCTTTTGACGAGGAAATGTTCTGAATTTTATATCCCATATATGTATGACCACATTTAGAGTACTGTATCCAAGCAGCTAGCCGATGTCTGGTAAAGGAAACTAACTCACTTGAGCGTGTTCAGCGTATTGGAGTAAAATTAGTGAAGGGTCTTTCTAGACTCCCTTACGATGAACGTTTAAAACGCCTAGATCTTTTGCCCTTGTCGTATGGTAGGACACGAGGTGACCTTATACTGGCATTTCGTATCTTTAATTATGATTTGGGTGTTAATATCTCTTATCTTTTTGTTCTCTCCAGCACTAATAATCTCCGAGGTCATATCAAGAAGGATCATAAACCACGATCTAATAAATCTAAAGTGGGGTCCCGTTTTTGTCATCGAGTAGTCAATCATTGGAACGCCTTACCCGAACAAGTGGTATCAGCCCCATCAGTGAATATTTTCAAGGAGAAGCTGGAACTTCAGTGAAAGTCAATCTGTCAGGATTAACACTAGCTAACCAACCTTCTATCCATATTACTGAAGACTGAAGACTAAAAGAAAAAACTTATCTGTCATTTGATTAGGGTTGTAGCGTCTGGACTTTTATCATATAGCTAGAATCATTTTTTACCATAATAATAACTCTATTCTTCTCATAGGAATTTTCAACTTCAGCACACACACGACTTATGTTCATTTCCTTGTAATCATACGCATGTGCTCCTTTTGGTTACTTGTATTTACATCCGTCACTCATTGTGCTATCTGAAGCCTGTCTCTGTTACAATACTGATAATCTGTTCTAGGCCTTACGAACGCTTGTAGGGAGTTTGACAGACGAGTTAGCCGGCTTTCCTTCTGCACTTCGCCTCATCTTCTCGTTTCGCATTTCAATGCGTGTCTGAATATAGTAGTGGATTGTAGGTTCAGTGAAAAGTCACTGAGCCCTAGCCAAATCATCCGGAAGTTGTGTTACTGAAAATCGATCAAATCATCGACCCTCGTTAAGGTCAAGGACAACCAACGCGCATCAGTTAGTCCTACGCCATGGGCTGGCCAATGAAGATGTGGTCTTACTTTCGCTTGTATCTCCTTTAACTAGTATATTTCTGTAACAACGTCCTTTGTGATGTACAGTTTTCGAAGCATCTATGGTACCTCGATACGTTGATGGGGTAATCCGCGTAAGCTTCTGACTGCGAGGTGTGAATTCGAAGTTAGCCAATTCGTCACACCGTTCCCGCCTTACTTTAGTAGCCCCCAATCATTCGACATAGATCATCTACGTTGGTGAGTTACAGGATGAAACCAAGTCACCCAACTTAAACATTGTTTAGCTATTATGAACCCCATCACTCAACGGAGGTTGCCCTGGGCATGACATACGTGGTAAAACGTAGGCACTATATTCATGCCATGTATATTTCTTTGCTTAAATCCTCAGTCAGATGTCCAGGAATAGGAATCGTGAACCAATAAAAATTCATCATTCGACGTATTCCAGACAATAAACATTATCGTGCCTAATTTGCTAGTTGTTGGCTTCATGATAAATAACTTTGAATTGCGAAAGATAACTCTTTTAAACTGAGGTATTATCCATATTTACCTTCTTTACAAATATAAGGGAATAATTACGTCTAGGTTTTGCTACGAATGTTTTCGGGAATGCATATTGAGTAAAATTCCAAGGTACGATTGCAGTAGGTACAAAGCATTATTATGAGAAGACCAGAGAAAACTGCTCTCGCAATCTCCTTTGGGGTGAATTATTTGACTTACAAATTCATACCAAGAAAAAGCCTTTCAATCGTTTGCTCTCGGTCTTCCGCATTCTGCAATTGCAATATGAAATCACAAGTGATATTTAGATACAGAACATATCAGTGTTTGTATTTAATGTGTCATAAATATTACAAACGACCATGTTTATACTAAATGTATGAATGTGGTATATTGAATAATTTTTAGAACTAATGATGGTACAGATTGTTCATTTTAAAAACGCTGTGCTGCAAATGTATTTGGTCGGCTTAATCAAATAGTCAAGCAGTGGATCTATTTTTCAATGGAAAACGTATGAGCAAAATGTTTTGACTGTGAACTTACATTATGATATCTTCATACCAACAGAAAATAATATCAGTCGATTCCTCCGTTTGATAACTGGAAAGAGTCCTTACAAGCTCATGGAAACCTAATATCTCAAGTTGATAACAATGAATCTCTATGAAAAAGCCAAATTGATGATCTTTAAAGCCACAACCAATATTTGTATTGATAACCTGTGAACACCATATTTATAGTTATAGCACTGACTTCTGCTCATACATTACGAACTAAATGATTATCCGAAATTTCTGGCAGATGGTTGAAATAAACGTAATTTTTAAATACCTCTCGTCATTATGCACTGTTATTGTGGAACAAATTTATCTGTGTATTCAGCGTTATAGACGATAAGTTGTTAAGCTCATCGTAAATATAATACTATTCAATTATTTAAATTCTTATGCATTCAGCCTCAGGGAAAGAGTTTCACACTTTCATGTTTCTGAAATTGCCGAGGGTAGGTAGAATTATGGTCTACTATGATATTAGTGCTGCTCTAATAATAGACCTAATCCTAAATTTGTAGATTTGTCATGATATAACTGCCTAATCTATAAGATCTTACGTGGAAGTCACACCATCGACTACGCCAACTCACTGTATCGTACCAATTAACAACACATGATGTAGAGCAAGGTTAGGCTAGAGAAAGAACAATATATTTAATATGAATAGAAGAAATAAGATAACATTCAGCATGGACCACGCCTGCACGGCCGAGCCATGCCGTTCGATCAACTCTAACTCACTCAACTCATTGTTCGCGCCTTCTCCATTGTTAGGTATTTCCCCGAGTTAAATATTGAATATCTATTTTCTGAGTAGTCTCGTGTTCACAGCTTTGTGGATTGTGTGGCTATTGTCCAATGCCACTACAGGTATACCAAGATCGCGAGGATCAAACATTATGTCTTTCCAAACATACTCCAGCTTTTCATTCTAGAAAAGATCAAATAAATAATCTGCAATGATTATATGGAACAGAGTGATGTGAAGCCTTAGAATAATGATTTAATTTGATAAAATAATACATTTATCTTTGCTTCTGTAGTAATAGACCTAGTCTCAAATTGCAGATTTGTCGTGATGTGACTAGCTGATTTATAAGAACATAGTCTACGCTTTCTCGACCTACGTAACAATCAGCAATATGACGTCCAGCACTTCTGTAGAACATATTTGGGATCTCCAAGTACCCAGTTCCTGATTTTGGAAGTGTTACACTTCACAATAAAAAAATGTACGATTTCGGTCAACGAAAGCAACACAATCAAAAAGAAAAGCTGATCAATATGTTATTTATTATCGTCACCGATTAACAGAATTTTATGGAACCCAATGATTCAAATGGTTCAAATGGTTGTGGACGGAATAGAAGAAGCTTTCGCTTAAATATAGTCATTATCAGTGTGGTCAGCTACGGTTCATAATTGATGATAAAAAGTTGAATCTTCGGACAGTCGCCATTCGAGTTTCAATACCGGTTGTTCTTCTATCATGCATGACATCTATTCCTCAATATAGCCAATCTATAAATCTCACACTCCTTTATCTTTAAAAACAGTGAAGTATATGCATTCAACTGACCATCACTACCGCCTAACTAGTTCATCTTGGGAATACTTAACAGGAGAGGAACAAAAAACACAAAACCAACGTTTAATAGACCTTTTCGTTAGCCGGAGCACATTAACAAACGTGGTAAGCTTTGTCTATACTGCTAGAAATGTGTCATCGACTACTTAGATCCCGAAAAGTTGAGGTGTAATATTTATTCATTGGCTCGTCTGCTCACATGTTTGTTATATCATGGATTGCAATCCTCAACTACGTAGTACTTTTGTTTTATTAGTCCTCTGATAATCAGATTAGATCATAAAAATTTATTGATGTAAGTTAAAAGTTTAGGTCATCAAGGTAGATGATCCATGTAGAATGATCGGGGGCCTACTCGGGTTAGACGGGAATGGTGTGACCAAAAGCCGACATCGAAGGCGTCTCGCGGACAGTACCTAACGTGGATTATCTCTTTATTGTATCAAGGTACTGTGTATGGTTTGAAGACTGTACAACACAGAGGATGTGATTACGAAAATATATCAGCTAGAGTAAGTACGGGTAAAAGCTTGACGACCACTGCACGAACCAATCCATGCCGTAGGATTAATTGATGCGTGCTGGTCGCCCTTGACCTTGACGGGAATCGACAATTATCTGTAAATATCATAATACAAACGACAAACTCTATGGCCTACAAAATTATTACTGTTATCAGTAATAAATAATTTTGACTTGAGATGACAACGCACTACAATGTTTTCGAAAAGTTTATTTAGTTTTAATGCTTAAAAAAAGTTGACAATACTACCACAGCAACTAGCGCATATTTAAATTCACCTCTGTGTTTCAGGTTGCTTTCCTCTAGTTTTGATTTCAGGGTCGATTCAATCTGAGCCTTGTGCTAATATTGACTCTTTTGATTGCTTTTTATATTAAATATATGTGCGTTATGGGCCTTTGCTGGGTTTTCAACTGTTTTTTTCTAAATATTTGACTTCTTGTCACGTTCTCCGCTCTTCCGCTTCTCTTCACGCTCTCCTAGTACACGTGGTACTTTATGGCCAGGCGCAAACTACTACATTCCATTGTAACAATACAATAGAAATGGTATTTTATTTAATGATTAATAATAGTTAATGGGTTTGATAGTCGTATTTATTTTTTACATGAAGCTAGTCGAACATTCACAAGTTTAAAAAAAGTTTCTGATTTTATTGAAAGATTCACTAGAACCGGCTGCGTTTCTTTGGACCTAGATGCAAGTGATCAGGATAATAATGCTGCATTACGGCAAGGCTTTTTAGCGCGAGAAAGGAACTGTAACTTACGTATGTTGTATTAATCAGAAAATACTCATGCTACTGTGGAAAAAATTTTAGAAGTCATTTACACTGTGCGTTTCATCCGATATTGCCTAACGAAACTCTAGTTTGTTATTAGAAATGGTTATGTGGCATTGAAGTGTTTATAAAATCTCAGAAACGATCCTGATTGTGTTGTTTGTTATAAGATTATGACTTCGTATAGATTCATCCGTGTTCAATAAAGTTAAAACTGTTGCCTTATCATACGACAGTTCCACAGATCTCCGTTTAATTAACAACAGGCATATTATATAACTTTCACCAGTACCTCAAAACTGTCATCAAGGAAAATTACTCAGCTTATCGTTTTTTTAGAACAGTAACAATTAAAATTCGTTGTTTATTACCCCATAATCTATATCACTCTAGTGTTCGAATTTAATGTGTAAATGTTTGCAAGCAACTGATGAGAAAACACGAGATAAAATAAATTTAAATTGTCCTGCTTTAATTTTTGTTTCGACTCTACTCCAATATACTGCCATCGAAAATCCTGAAGGATATTAAGTGGGCCCACACTCGAGGAACAGAACTTATGAAATCAACAGTGTGTATTGCTTTGAAGAATTAGATTTTCCGATCATCTCTAAGGGACATGCTAGAGGTCAGTTTAGAAGAAAAATCTCGACGATTCACCTAAAAATTCTTAATACTAATATGTGGGGTATTATATCTCTTTTATGAATCATATCATTTGCAAATTTCTATTAGTTCCTTAATTTATGGTTGATTGTGTTCTAGATAAATATCCTAAAGGCTTGAAACATGGAAGTCAACGTTATACAATGAGGGTCATAATAGGAATATGTTGCTTGGCACGATAGAGATAAAACATGCGGATTCACCTCGTAGCTCTTAATACATAGTCGATGATCAAGAGCCTGAAAGGTAATCCTCGTGAAACCAGGCTCCCATAATGGAATAATGGCCATTGATTATACTGGATCAATTCATTAGAACAAGCCGGAAGGATATTTATATATATAAGTTAGGAATAGTCTTTTCACATAGTGGTATGAAGCTAACTTCTAAAGAAGATATATAACCAGACTTTAACGAAAGCAATATTTGAAATCTGGGTGATGTGTGGACGCAAATAATAATGATTGATTGTTTGCTTAGTTAGATTAGTGGATAGTCTGATAGGCACTAGACGAGTTATATATTCTCTTACACTTTTCATTACTATGGTTGCGTCGGATTGTTATCGGTTTATGGTGCGGAGATATGTTTACAATCTAGTCAGGCTAGTCGTGTGTTCTTGATACTAGTTGTTTTGAAGTCCTGTGGAGTGGACACTGAGAGGGAATCTAGTGTAGATATTCGTCTGAGGCAAATTAACGTCACACTTAAATTTGACAATACACTGTAATCATCCAAGCCGGTAAATGAATCTAAATGATTTGTGACATACTAAATTTAGCACACCGATTGTTTTTAAATTGATTTACGATTATGCTTTATTTAATTTTGTTTCAGATCATAAAGTGAGGAATAATTAACTGGTACCTTGTTATCCTACCTCTTTACGTTTGGTATTTTGAAACACTCGTTTAAAGTTGTGTATCTGTTGAATCGTTTCTTTCGCATCCCTGTTGAATCATTGCTTCTTCGAAACAAAGACACAAGTGAAGAAAAAGATTTTTTAATTCTATTTCCTGCTGTGTCTATTATTGAAAGCTGTTAAGGACAACGCTGAATGAAGGAAATAGAAGTGTGAAATTGGTAAAGATAAGGTAGAAAAGACTTAATTTAAAAAATTACTGATTGATTAATTAGTTCCTTCAACATTTGCAGCTAACTGAACTTTCATCAAGTTAAAACTTGTTTGGATCTAATCCGAAGATTTATTCCAATGCCAATTCAAGCCATTTGATCAAGCTGGACAATACACTCAGACGATGATTAATGATCACTTATTTGATTATTCACAGGTTTCTTTGACGTATACAGATACGCCCAAAGTCAAAGGTTTTAGATTGTACAATGTACTTTCTCATCCTTGTGTTTTGGTATTCTTCCACTGTAAGTTTTTACAGAGTTATTAATCAATCTAGTCTTTATTTTGACTATTTGTGATGATGGGAATGTCATTTCATATAGTACAAATATGAATCAACAGAATATTTTAATTCCAATTTCAATAAAGACTTCAGACGTGTTTCGGGTAAGATGGTTACAAACATATTATGTTTTCAGAGTACAGCTACTTGTTCCTTTCTTAAAACACCTACCGCCTCTGATACGAATGGTTTGTTCTCAGAAATGTTGTTATCAGATTCTAATCCAAGTGGAACCATCACTTTCCGATGCTCTCAAGCTGGCCATGCAATTCTTTTCTTCTGTCATGATAAATCCAATTCGAGTATTTTGTTCTCAACTAAAAGGTTGTTTAGATACTCACGTTTTATCTGTATAACAGTTTGATCCAGTGTAGAAAACCTCCTGTTGTATCAGTTGGTCCAAAGACAATTCGTCTCCTGAAGAAACCAACTCCTTTTAATCAGCGACTGATTGTTATAACCAGGTAAACGTGATTCAATTGTCTTATGTACACATAGTCAGATTGTTTCAGAAAGCAACATTATCGTGACATGTCTGAAGAAAGATGAATCAGGTAACTAGTCATTTGTCTTTAAAATGTCTTAATATTATCATATTACTAAGATTCAAACTTTTTGCTGTAGCGGTATCTAATCCTATTGTACCCTAATCATTAGTAAACCTATATAGTAATTACCATGAACGAACAGGAATCCTTACATCATTTCTTTCGTGGTTCATTTTTCCTTCAGTTGAAATAATTTTTCTTTAACACTGAATCCCTACTAATTATTACTAAGTGGAATAAAAAGATAATTGCAGCGGAATTCTGTCTGGATGCCAACCACCATTTCAGCTAATCAGGTTCATACTTCTGAGTTCAATAATTAGGATTGAAGGTGCCCCTAAATCTCAAGTGCCAATTGGCATGAAATGAATGTCAAGCAAGATATCCTGCTGACTAATCTCAATTATCGAACAGGCTTTATAATAAGGGTTCACATCTTTTAAACACTTTGAAACGGTTTTCAGCAAATAATTGTAATTTTTCCATATATTTAACAGATATATCAGTTTCGATAAACCCTATCACTGTATATTCTGGAACGTCAAATGGAGTTGTAAGTTTTTGAGATCATAAGTGATCGGACATTACTTTTTCAGGTGTCTGTTGCTATTCAGTCATTTTCCAATGCTCAATCGTTTACTATTTCATGTAGAGCACAATCAATTAATGGTAGTCAGTATATGTCGGCAACATCTGAGGGTTAGTAAAAAATTTATGATTCTGTCATACTGTCTATTAACATTAAAGGAAGCAGTTCATCGATCTCATTAATTAATGGAGAGATTATCCTTACACCTAATGATGTGAATTTGTATAGTCTACAGTTTCAGGTTCGTTTATTGTATTTTCTCTTAGTTATTATTATTAATATTCTCCATAGTACAACGCAAAAAATATTTTGTCGGTTGTATCCTAAAATGCTATCCTATTCTGTTTTTTTTAATTGCTTCGTTTTAACATTTTGTGAGAACGAATTGACTTATGAATTGCTAAATCCGGATTTATACTTGACCTTCATAACCTATCTTTGAAAAGACCGACAATGAATATCCTAGTTGTTGAATCCTTTGGGCTAAACCAAATTTGTACCATTAGATTAACCTGCTATACGAAATGAACTTGAATTGAACCGAATGAACGTGACTGAGTACAATGACCACTGAATTACAGTTCTATTATATTTGAAAGTGAGGTAGTGAAATCTGTGTAAGAATTCTACCCTAAATGACTGCATCAAATCTCAAAACTTGGAAATTGAAAGACTAGATTTGTCTGTTGTGTGAAACAAAATGAGAAGAAAAACGGATTTATATACCTCTAATTGTGAAGTTTCCGGGCTTTAATAAAGCTGTCAAAGTATCAATGGAAAAGCAACATGCTTTCATCAAACGAAACGCATAAAAGTAAATTCGCAACCCGGTAAAAATTTATTTGCACCACCATCTGATTTTATTTGGACAACCATTTAAAAATAGGAAATACTGGACAGCTGTTCTATCTTAGCATGGAACTCATCAGCAATTCGTATTCAAAAACCGTTCAAATTAAACTAAGTTACGGATAATAGGTCACAAAATGAATCTAAACAAAGAAAAATCAACCAAATGAGATGTTGAGATGGTTCAATAAAAGCAAACTATTAGTAAGGCGTTTTGTGGAGATTTTAGTATTTTAGACATTTGAACTCACCACCAGCTATCCAATAGTGGTCTAGCCTAGATCAGCTCGTGAATTTAACTGTTAAAACCAAACTATTTACTATTAATAAGGAGCATATCTAGCACACAAAATAAATAACGAGGCAATAGTAAACAGTCCTAATAGGAAATTGTTGTTCCCGATACAGCTAAACCCGTCATGAAGGTGTAATCTGATTTATATCGGAGGTTTAATCAATAAGGGGGTGATATTAGTTTAATGCACATATTTTTTTCCAATACGCAAGAGACAAAAATACATTTATATTTGTTTGGCATTACTTCGGTTAGTGTAGCTAGATATTACTAACCCTTATAACTCAAGTGCAAGTAAAAGACAAGTCTATAAATACGTACTTAACTAACTATTTACATTAAACTAAATCTCCATAAATTATTTCCAAAGATTGTGGATACAATCCACTATCTAATACCAACAAGCGTAGTTCCAAGGAACATAGCTGAAAATTTACCACCGACATAACATAGATCAGGAAGTTATGTAATCTATTGTATTCTTTTAAGAATTGCACATTTGCGTTGCAATAAAGTTTATTTGTCATGCATCATAGAACCAGCGTATTTTTTATAATCCACACACGTTAGTGCATAGCTTGCATTCAAACAAACATGTATACTTTAAATGTTTAAATTATTTCTTTTTATTTAAACCAATGAGAGTTTTGCATGAAATGTGTTAACACTATTCGAGTTACATTGATACTGTAATATATTGGGAAAATAAACGTTTTAAAGCCAAAGTAGAAGTTCCATCAATAATTCCTGTTTAATTTAGAAACCTTAAAACATTTATATTATTATTTTACAGGTTTTATTGTTTCTGAATGGATTAAATCAAGATTTAGGAGTCCTTTGTAGCGTTAGTGTGGCTAACAATGAAACACAAGCCAATAATTTACTGAGTGATAATACATGTGGAACAGCATCAACTAATGGTAATATATTTTAGTCTCCTTTAAATTATTTTCAACGACTTCCTTATATGGGTATTAGTAGTTTCACTTTATCTTGAAACTCAATTTCTCTTTATTCAACACTGTACTTAATGGTGTCACTGTATAACCGCTATATATTCTCTCCACTACTGTTTCTCAGTACTTGAGTAATACGGTCTAACTATAACTGTAAGATGAAGTGTGAAGTTGATTACGTAAAAATGTCTTTCTAAATATAAAAAAAACTGCCCATTAAATTTAGGAGGTCGCATTACAGCGGACACAAACTTCCAAAACGGGGACATAAAACACTGAATCATCAGACTAGATTAAACTTCAAACTTAAGGGAACAGGAACGTGAATTATTTTCGCATTGTTTCCTAAATTTGAGTCAGATTAATAATTGCCCAAATTTTGATATCTCATAACTAATCATTTCCTAACTGAAACTTAAAGAAAATTAAAGGAAGCCAAGGAGAGAATTATCAAGGATTCATTTCATCTTAATCCAAACTGATCATTAGTGCTCACCCTCAAACTCATACACAATCGACTTTGGAACTATTGACGTTAAACGAAATAATTTTGCACTTATCCGTTGTGTATCCAGTTTTCTGTTTTTCTATGTTCAGACAATTTAGAAATTGAATATTTTAGATCCAGTAAAGATATATCGTATGTACAGACTGATTTTTTATCACCGCTTTTTGATAACTCACTTAAATGTTCAAAAAAATCCAATTACTTCAAGTTCGATTCTTTAGAACTCTACTGAAATTTTATTCTTGATACAGTAGGTCACCAAAATGATGGCTAATGTGAACAAGTACTCATCCATTACATTCAACAATTATCGTTCTTTAATTGTATTTGACTATATACTACTAATAAAATATTCACAGCTAATATGAAATCTGGATATTCTACAATCCATACCATGTGGATCTGCAAAAGCTGAATATTTATGTGTTTTAATCTAGATCAACGTTATATATCTCATATAATTTAACCTATTCACTATGAGTTTCTATTTGACTTGCTTTCATAATGTTATATATTATAAACCAGTGAATTTAATGTTAAAATATCTAAATGTTACCTTTATTTTTTTTATTTTTCATGTTAAGTTGCAACTTCAAACAACTGGTCTATAACACCTTCTTTAAACGAATTTAAGGTAGGTTAGTTTGTTCATTTATTGATTAAAAAAAGCTGACAGATAATCCGTATTTAAACAGTAAAAAATTAAAAACACGAAGTTCATCGAAAGGATCTCTTTTCAACGAATTTATTATCAAGCTGTACAATCGTATACATATATATATATATATGAAACTTCTTTGTTAAAGTACTAATTCCATGAGGAAATATGAACATGAAATAACCCAGATAACGTAATAAAAAAGGTTATAACACTGCTGAGGAGTCCCATGCCAGGACGAAACGGCCGTCCAGTGCTTCCAGGTTTTCAATGGTGGTCTAGCTTCAACTGACTCATGATTTCAACCTGTGAAATGTTTTTGTTATAATAATTAAAGGTTATAGAGGTGTAAGAAATAGATAAGGTGATATGATGAGTATTTATGAATAAAATAATAGGCGTAAAGTACATTGGCCGTAGCCAACGCTTGCTTTCAACTTGGATACGGGAACATATCCCAGTTTGGTTGTACAAGGGTGAAAGGAAAGCAGTTAGGAGTTCTATACTTGAACATCTAATCGACTGTAATCATTCTACAGATTCAAAGTTTGATTTTAAGGTTGTTTATATAATTCGTTCAAATCAACTTAGATTTCTTCGTATCCAACTCTTAAAAATAGCCAAAGCTCTTACCGTCCATGAGCTCAAACCAGAACTATGAGTACGAAAGAAGTACGTCTTATCGTTATCGTTACCTTGGTCTTAATTAATATTATTATTATTCTATTATTATTATTATTACTGCATTCCCCCTTTACTTATGTCTTATATTCTCATTTGAAGCTTGGCCACCATTGAAAACCTGGAAGCACTGTACGGTCGTTTCGCCCCCTTGTGGGACTCCTCAGCGGTGCGCATCCACGATCCCGCCCTGCGGGATTCGAACTCAGGGCCTATCAGTCTCGCGCGCGAGTGCTTAACCACTAGGCCACTGAGCTGGCATCCAACGGTGTTAATATCTAACTTCAATTAATCCACGAAATTGAGCGACATATACACCATTGTCTTCAGTGAGTTACTATCTCACAACTAATCCGGTTGAACTTCTTTTAAATTGACTAACAATTTGTTTATTGCCACGAATGTAACTTAATCATCTTTTCATTGAAATTCAAATATTCTTTTAGATAACAATCAGTATTAACCAGACAAATAAGTTATCTTTCTAAATAAGTACCTTTGAAAAACTGCTAAAACGTACAGCATTCTACTTCTATAAATCATTTTAAAGGGAAAAAAAAGCATTTTATTTTATGATATATATTTATAGGCATCATCAATATCAAGTCGTACAGATTCACTTACACGTTTACTTACGGTGAAACGTAACTCATATCCAACAAACGAATATGATAATACAATGGAAATATTAATTTTAAAATGTTGCAGTACTACAAAAAATGCTACAATGGATCCAGCATTTGCTAATATTGTAACAACAAGTCGAATTAATGTTCTACTTAAATCTCGTTTAATTATTAATAAAGGTGAAGAATTACCAACAGGTTAGTTAATCATTGTCTAAGATTTAAGATTTGATAAGTTAATTATATGGTTAGATTGTGTGTATTTCTTTGAATTGTGGTGTGGCATATCTAACAAGTAAAAATCTATGTACTTGCCTCACTCAAGTCACCCTTTATGCTGAAAGGTTGGTGATAGTACTGTGCTGCCCAAAATGAATTAGAGGTAGCGAAACCCGGGAAATTGTACATGAACACCTGACAGCGTTAATTCATATGAGCTTTCTTCTCAAAATGATGTCTATAATCTGTCTTTCGGATGTGTTTTTTTAATAAGTATAAGATACGTCAACGGAATAATTTCTTCACGATTCTGAATTTTCATAATTTGATTTACTATTAAACTCGTTCTGATATGAATTAACATTTTGTTCTAACTTTTTTCCATAGATCAAACATTTCCCTATCCTGATCCTGTATGGACGCAAATTTCTCCTTGTCCCTGTGACCTAACCATAAATACATGTGACCTTGGATGTCCATGCGATAACGTAAGTGTATCTGAACAAGAAAACACTTTTAAAAAATCACATAACTGATTAGGTATTCGTGTCACCCTGATTCTGTAAATCCTTTTACCAAAATCAGTTAATTCGGAAAGAGTTTTGAGCATACCTTGTACGAGATCATCATCGCTTTCCGAGATTTCACTTTCATAATCACGTATTTTTAACCAAACATAACTCTAAAAATGAAGCAAAGCATTGCATATTTTTGCCATAGATAATAATCAAACTGATGATAAACATAGATAGGTCGTCACTACGTCTCGTTAAACTGAACTATATTATCTTACTCCACTTATGAATATGATGTATCAATACAGTCTTGAAGTTTCATTAAAGTTCAAACCTACGTAAAAGTCAGTAAAGTTATTTTGTGTCTCAGTTTGATTTAGAACAAAAATCATTAATGCGGACTGATTTAACTGTGGATTTCAATCGTGTTGAAGAGTTCCTATTCTTTCGAAGAGAAGCTTCTTTAGTTATATATCTACAATTATGTATAAATTACTATGTGATTACTATCAAGATATTTGATCTCTTCCAAGTAATAACATGAATGTAATATAAACTTTCATACATTATTTGTTATTAATTAGAGTTCAATTAAATTCAGATGTTCAGTTTAGTTAAACAAAGTCTTTCATTACGCCATATGGATAAGAAAATCTAAACTATCCTATCCTTAAGTTGATTAAATAATGGTATGTATTCTTATCATAGATTTCCACAATATCAAATAAACAACTTCGTCTTACTATTCATTGAATATGAACTCAAAAATAGTGATCATGCTGTAGTGAACACGAACACCAGTGGAGAACAATCGAATGTATTTAACACAAAATTACAAAACTTGTTAATATAATCTAACAATCAAATAGTAAATACGTAACTTGCAAAAATGTCCATCAGTTGTCTCATAATGACTCAGACTTCATCGCCCTTGCATTTTCATACAAATTGCATTCTGTTCCCATTCTCTACTGTTCGATCCTCTTGTCTCTCCGCTGCCAGACCTTCTGTTCACGACTAACATCATATACTACTTATGTCAATATAAGTAGCACACACCAAAATACTATCTCAGTACTTTTAATTAGTAGTATGACAAAGAAAAGTTCTATAAATTGTTTGGATTGTTGAATATATTTCCATTCAACTTAATGCGATTTATGCGGTCAAGCGATGAATACTCATAGAAATGTATTCAGTTGAATGATTTATAAACTTAAGGATTCTTAGTTTTGCAAAATTCTATAGTGTAATATTTCTTGTTTCTTATCAGATGTGTCCTGTCAATCAGTCTACAGTCATGTCATCAAGTTTTTTTGGAGGTTATTTCAATCTTCCAAATGATCATAGCTGTGATGCAATGTTAGATCGAATTGAAAATGAAGAAAATAAAATTGATTTAATTAATCGAGGTTTCACAAGATTACCAGATTATCATCCACTTCTATGTGTTACTGTTGATAATAGTGCAGTTCTTGGAAAATATCACAGTTCACTTTCACCTGCTCGTACTCTTAATGACTTTAATAAGAATACTAAAAATGCTAAAACTGAATATCCATTAGATCAAATTAATGATTTGGATGTTCGAGAAGTTATTGTTGATCAAAACAATCAAAAACAACGTTTATATACTAATGGTGATCCATTACTTTTAATGGTACAGCCGGTAATTTTAACAACTTCAGATGATCCATCTATTCTCGTTAGTCAATATAATGAGTATTTTGTTTTACCCAATGAAATGAACTGTGATTTAGAATCAAATATTCCCGTAGAATATCTTTCTGATCGAATTACTTATAGATGTCCTATTGTTTTGTCAGTCATACAATGTCAAGACGCAATCAATATAAAAAACAATATAGGGATTGGTGAGTCTTATTTTGTAATTATTACTAACAACGAGGCGTAATTTACATAAAAGTAAAGCACATGCATATGCATATTGCTTTTCTACTATTTTTATTAACTTTTTTTTCCCTAAATCTTTGTTTCAAACTTAATCATTAGGATTTCGTGATGGCCAAGGAGAACATCAGTCAGTCAGTCAGTCAGCTACAACGTAGGACCAGGCATATATACTCATCGATCCAAGTTGCTATACCTCATTATCACAACAACATGGACAAATTCATATAAGTAGTTACTTTAACGGTAGTAATATATAAATAATGATTGTATATGAGGATATGATACAGGAAGAAAGAATTAGGTTGTAGAAAGAAAGATAAAAAACAGTTTTAATCCCAGAGTTTAAATGAACATAAAGAGTTGATACACCTACGCCGTTGTGATCGATTCTGAACCATGTCATCCAGAGTCTCCAACCATTGGTCACAATAATTATGCGGATTCCAACCAAGTAGTCTGCATCTGCCGACATGGCTCAGATCAGAAGTTAGTGACTTGAAGGACTGATGCCATTATATTAATTAACGACATTAAATAGATCTGCTTAGTTGTTATCAACATGTCTTTTAAAAAAATAATTCTAAATTTTTTTCACTCTAAACTTACGTTTATTTATATTTCAAAATATTATATACTGATGCAAAGCACAATGTATATATTCCTTAGTTCTTCAAGTGAACAGTTTCTACTAGATGATTATCAACCAGAAATATATAATGAAAAAGATGTAATTCCCGCTATTCTGTCTACTCAGTTAAATTTATATTAAATCATAGAATTTTGCATAAAATCAATAATCTAACTGATCTCTTCATCATACTAAATGAGTGTTGATCTTGTCCGAATGCATACTTCATGACTGCTTATTGCATGTAAACCCATTTGAAATGAACTGTCTAATGATGAATCACCATGTGAATAGCTCACTTGCAACACCATTGTTTTCGACTCTGAGTAAAATAGGTTTGAACCCAAATATGAAATCAGTTTTCACAATATTACAGGTATTTTTTTGCTAACGAGTTCTAACAATAGACCATGGTCTGCATCTTCCCACCGCTTGTCTTCAACCGTCGGTCATTAAATAAAGTTTATTGAATTATAGAGTCATTATCTGTAGCCGATATATTTCATCTTAATCGAGAGAATTGAAACTGCTCTAAAGAATAAATAACAGGACATTGATTACTACTAAATCTCTAATAGTAGTAACAGTCTATATTTAGTCAGAATTAAAGAAACGGTTAAATGAATCTATTATTTATTAAACAGACAGAATAAACTAACTTTTACCAAATGAACTCAATCTGTTGCAGTATCATTAGTTTGAGGAGTTGGAGGAGTTTGTTGAATTTCATTGTTATTTCAAGGAATAACCTTAGATAAACAGTCATTGGTGACCATGAAGCACTGAACATTCGTTTATTCTTAATATGAACATCTTCAGCAGTGCATATCCATACCCTCATAGAAATTGAATTAAAGATCTTTAAATTTTGTGTTTAAAGTTCGACTCTTAGAATTTTAAGTTATCATCCAATAGTTTGCTCTTATAAGTTTCATCATTTCGCGTTACTGCTTAACCATCATCCAATGTGATTGTTAGTTGGAGGAATACCATCCTAGGACAAAATAGCTATTCAGCGCCTCCTGGTTTCCAATAATTGCTGAATTAAGTTCAGTCTCTGATGGAAGCTATGAAAAAAACAGTTGAAGTAAAACAATTTTAAGTAAATATATGTTGGATCTTTGTATATTTAAAATCTAATTTTTCGTATATATATATATTTCATAACATAATTAGGCTGGGGACCGAGAACACTATTGGATCGTTTATTTGCACGTGCTTATTTAATTGATGATTTAGCAATATCAAGAAATTCTGAATCAATATTTCGTTTACGCATGAATCGTTTACGAGATGATACACCAGTCCCAGTAAAGGTGGATTATTTTTGTTTAAAGCAAAATGAATTACAGAACTTTACAATGTCTTCTCAGGTATGTGATAATCCAGTTTTTTTATTAGTTATCGTTGATTAGATATTATTTTTGTGTCATAAATTGAAATATTTATGTATGGGATTTTCTAAATTTTAGTGATAAGTATTATTAGGGATTTTCAATCTTCCGTTGTTCACATTCAAGATTACAACTGACCAATGTCTCTTGCTATATGTACTTCCTGAACATACCTCCTCGATACGGTTTTATGCTACAAGTTTTAATATGTTTTATGTGTGGCTAGCAGTTCATTCTAGGTCATACATTTTGTTCTATCTAAAGTTCATCAGGCGAATATACCTACCTTAACTCCAATCTTGAATATCAATGAAACAATTCAAACTCTTACTAATTTATGATGCACACATACCCGTCAATAAACTTAGTGGCTATCTCAAATCAATAGCTCAAAAGATAATGCATTATACATTTAAACTGACAATTACTAATGAAGAGACTGAAAACGTTTAGTTTAGTTCTGATCGTTTGTGATTAATTACGAATTGATTGAGGATTTATGAAGATTGCCGTAATGGTTTCATGAATCGGTCAATAGTGATGCAACATCTAGTGTGATGGGTTCAAATTTAATTGAGCGAAATTACTTCATGACGACTTTTAAACACCATTTATAGGCAAATTCTTGTTAAATCCATAGTACGTTTTAAATTTCCTAATATCTAGTATGTTTTAAAGTATTCGTTTAAAATTACAACGTCGTCCAATATCCGACAAACTCAAGTGTTTTCTACCTTTTCTTGCTATATTTCAATGTTCATCTAGTCAAATGTTAATGTAGATCAAATAAATCAAACCGGTTTTTTCAATCATAACTGTACATATAATGCAACGTCTAAATCGACTTCATGTATTCCATTACAAAATTCAGTGAAGTCAAATTACTTAGTCCCAACTACCTGTCCTTGGCATAATGCTTTCGATCTTCCACCTGACATTGATTTATCGAATAATATATGCAACAATGTCGTAATGAAAGTGGATTATAAGTGAGTTTTTCCTCTTTCTTATATGAAATATTTCCTAGATAAGCTTTTGTCCTCAGATAAAAACGTACAAGGATAGTAAAATGTAAATAGTTATCGGTATAGGTTTTTGTAGAGATTATAGAATTTCCATAGTTTTCAATCACGAACTGATCCTAGTTAGACCACCATTAAAAAGCATAAAGCACTGCACCACTGTTTCGTCCTAGTATGAGACACCACACAACTTCACTCCAACTACGTTGGCCAGGGTACCGGATACATGACCTTCGGTTTCGCGCGCGAACGATAGACCTCTAGACCATTGAGTATATAAATGTCAATATTGTCATAAGATGTAACACGTGTCAGGCTACCATCTACCGAAATTCACAGTGCTGGCTCCCACAGAAATAAGACAAGAAATAATCATCATAATCAAGTGAATACTCTAATGGTGTCACTAATCTATGTAATATGGTGTATGCCTACTACCTTACTAGGTATCCTCAAAGCATGACTCTTTACTTTGATTAGTGTTGGTTCACAACTTAAATGTCGCTTGTCGCTTAACCGAAATATTTTTAACTCATTGGTTCCGCCACAAGAGTGCTATGTGATGAAGATGTTAATAGTAAAATATATATTGCTTATTCATGTATTCATGCATATGCATCAAACAGGTGTTATACGCGTACAGTGGTACTGATGGGACTATTGTGTTAAAGACTCTTAGTTGACTTTTAGATATCTGAACGATGCTATTGATGAAGTAGGTTGGTGAATTTAAAACCAGTTTTTTATATCAGTCTCAGGATTTCATTTGGTCCCATCAGGTATGCACTCACCCGATAACTCGGTGAACGGCAAACAACCAATAGGCAAATTTCAATTTAAGTTTGTAATTTACCTACTTCTGCAGAACTTTTGTTATTGAGCTCCGCAAAGGTGTGGAGTCAGTATGAACTTTTCAATTTTCAAGTCATTTTAGCTAAGTTTTCCATGTTTATAAAAATGGATTTTCTCTTTTCATAAATTAGAATGAGCAGTTATCAATGTGGATTTCCATAGATATGTCGATATCCATTTCTATATGATTTAGTCTATTTACATGTGTGCAAAATTTACTTGGTAATATGAGTACATTTATACACTTGGACCTTTAGCTCATATATGATAGCATATGATAAAAATTGAGCCATAAGCTCCCTCGAATTCCATTCACCAGATCATAGAGTGATACTACAAGCAAATGTTGTATTTTCTGACTTTTTAGAATCCATATAAAACTGTTCTATCAAGCAATATAAAGGTTTGCCATGGATACATTCAATGATTGTGTCTTTTGCCATAATCCACATTGTCCACTAGTACCGGTCACCAAATACCAAGATATCTTTAAAATGGATCGTACCAACTAATCATAAGAGACAAGTTAGACCAAAATCTTGTTATTTCATTTCTAGTAGTCATAACTTACCATAAAAAATCTCATCACAGTTACTCCCAGATTAATGAAATATTTAATATAGGATCTTGCTAGTAAACGTATAAAATTATCATTTTCTGTTAAATAAACACTTAAGGAAAGTTTTTGATTGAGATTATGAACCGATTGATGTTAGACCACCGTTGAAAACCTGGAGGCACTGGACGGCCGTCTCGTCCATTGTGGGACTCCTCAGGAGTGCGCATTCACGACCCCACTCGCTGGATTCGAACCCAGGGCGATCAGTCCCGCGCACGGACACCTAACCTACTGGAACACTGGGCCGACATCCAATGGTGCTGAAGAGTCTCAAAATGGGACGAAACGGTCGTCCAGTGCTTCCAGGTTTTCAACGGTGGTCTAACATCAGTCAGTTCATGATCTTAATCAAAAAATTAATAATCTCCAAAATCCTTATACTGATAACTTATGAAAAGTGTCAGACTACAAATCATTCGAATTAAATCAAGCTTTCAAACATCTATCTATCAGTAGTATTTTGATATTTTAAATAAAGTTTTGCTCACTAGATGGTCGAACTTCACAACTGTCACCTTTAAATGAAATTCGATAAAGTTTTATTATTATTATTATTTGAAATTGGATTCTGTCAAAAGTTGATATCATTCGAAGAACTTCCCCAGATGAAATACTTCTCTTCAGCATATTTCCTATAGTTGGTTTTTCTTTGAAAATCATAGAAGAACAATTTGAATGAAAGCCATAATTTTCCCTTTTTTTCTCTTAATTAAAGTAGAAAGCTTTTTTGTTTACCTAGAAAATTACATGCTTTAAACAAGATTATTTGGTAATTTTCTTAATGGCTTTTCTTTATAATAGATTTGTATGGTCCGATGGAAGTATACAAGAAGCATTAGCTCAAGTATATATGGCCAACTTACCTGTAACTAGCACTGAAATAACATATTATCAGGAATATTCTGTCAAATTTATTCATACTACTGAAGTAGACAATGAAATTGACACAAAGCTACCGTCACATCTTTATGGTAAATTGAAAATATTGATAAAACACATCTGAAATCTAAACGAATTTGTCTTGTTTTTTATTAAGTATTTTGATGGGTTATCTCATTTTAGAAAATTCAGTTAAATTAAACTTCGGCATAATCCATCTATTATTCATATTTTGACATGAAACTTAAAGCTTCTAAATCTGTAATTAACCAAAAGAACAGATTTTCGAGATGAATAGTACTTTTGTTTTCGGAATATTAAAAACAAAATCAATAAAACTAATTTAATGATTATCAAAATAATGAATGATTTCAATCAATCAGTTGCGTCTTTTCTTGTGACTGCATTGATGTGATGGAACCGGCTACTGTTCTCAACCATCGAGCTGTCATGTTTCAACTTGACTAATCTGTGGCATCCGCTAGTTACTTCCTGTGACGCAATGCTGGGACAATATTCAAGTTTGTTTAGGATTCTTGTTCAGATATTAGCATCTTTGGGTGAATGCAGACTCCAGACAAATACGAGGTATTTAAACTGGTCTTCTGTCATGGAAGACCACTTGAACCTTTCACATTCTCAATTCATAATTCCTGGATGTTTCACCCAGTCATCTTCAAACATTGGTAACGGATATTAAAAAGCAATGGCTTTTCTCCAAAGCTTTGAGACAGGGTTTTAATTGTTTCATCAAAACTTAAGTCCCATGGGTTCCTTGGAAGAATAAAGTTACTATAACCTTCATGTTTTGTCGTTCCAAGTTTTATTAGAAGTATTCTGAATTCTGAAGCGTCATCCAGTTTGGAGAGATCAATATGGAACAGATCTTCATATTTCTTGAACTATGAGTCAAAAGTAACGCCTACTAAACCATCAAAGTTAAATTCATGGATTGTTTAATGACTGAGTCGGTGTGTTACTTGTAGTTCACCAAAAGTGGGGTTTTGTCAGGACAGGCACATTTTCTGCATAAGGACTCCCATGATTCTTATTTGAGACAGTTCAAACCGTTTCTCTTGACACTCTATATAGGCTTCTAGTTGTTCAAAAGAAATGTTCATTGTAGTTCTCTCCGTCACCACTGATAATTCTTCTGACTGAACTGTTGAATCGATTTCTTAAACTCTTCTAATAATCCAAGGGTAAATCTATACGACAACTTTAAACAAAAGAATAATTCGAAAATGAAAATCTTCTGAATGTTCAACTACAAGAATATATTTCATTCGATTCTCATCAGAATGACTTAACATTTCTTTCAAATTTTCTATTTGAAATCATCGTCATTTCATGATAGATTTTCTGTTTCACATAATCATTTCATATTCTTAGCTGAATATGCTTTATTCTCAAGCTTTATAAGTCTAAGTTATATCTTGTGTAGTTCAACTTATGTGTGGTGAACTATATTACCCACACCAATGATATAAATGCATCGAAATTTCGAATTAGTATATAGAGTCACCTACACATAACATTCCATTTATCTTTCAAATAATTATTATGAACTGTTACATTTCATTCTATGTAATTCTATAAATGATAATATTATTAGGCCAGATTTTAGACCTAGTTCTTGAACCTTTCTGTTAAATAAACAGTTAAACTTCATCAATCGTTCAAACATCATACAAACCTCATTCATTACCGTTGTCATATATCTAAACATTACAATTAAACCAGGGCGGACTGCTTGAATATCTGGGTTACCTATCCCTGCCATCTGGATATTTCAACAAATCATCTGTTTTCTTGTTTATTTTAACACATCATTATAACTATTAGTCGCATAACGTATTCAGGTGCGTTTGTAAAAACTATACGACATTTTGCTGTACATGATACAAAAGAGCTCAATCCGAGACATCGTGGTTGCCGGCAATATGCATCGAAAAGAATATACATTATTCAAATGTCGATTCATGAACTGCTAATATCTAACTAGTAATCACTCAATATTTATCGTGAGGGTCGATCAAGAAATAAGAAAAGGAAACTTGTTGAAATACTTTGTGCTGAGAATTGCTTATTGTACCAAAAATATAGTATTGAATAAAGCTAATAATAATAATAATGACGATGAAGAGAAAATGTACTTATGGCATTATATTGGACTTCGAAGTAAATTTGAGATCAGATACAGTACATTATAATTTTGAATCAAGTTACAAATTGGATATTAGAATTAAATCAGAACTAACGACAAAATAACATACCATTTGTTTAAGTAATATCATACTTACATATCGATATTTATACTTTTATGAATCTTTTTTAACAAATCAAATGTGTACATCTAATCTCATTCTGATGAGAATGAATCTGTGAAATAAAATAAGCAGCTTTATACTGTAATGACCGAAGACTCAAGTAGGGAATACTAGTCTATTAATCAATGCATAATTTCAGAGTTATTTGATAAAGTGTGAAAAACCATACATTAAATATTTTATTTGCAAATTTTCCATCAATTATTACATCGTTTCATCGTTTCTTTACTGGTATTACAATTAATCTCTGTTTACATCCCCGTTCTCTTCAATTCGATCTTCTCAACCTTCTACTGTCAAACATTTCATTTCTGATTGTTGTTACATACTACTTATGTCTATCGACATAAATAACATACACAACAATATAATAAGTCAGTTATTTAGAAAAAAAAAGTGGATTCTAAAATTCTGACATTTAACCACTTTCATATTCTGGAAATAGTTGTCATGATAGTATGCTCTGCTGATGACCTTCAGCAAGTTTGGAATTTCATGCAAAAATTCAACAGTTATTCGTCAGCTGAATTCGGATTGGTTTATCTGTAAAATATATTTTAACCACTGTTGACAACGTAGTTTTATTCATCAAAAGTGAATTCTTATCTTTTTTTGTTTACTTTCTACGTAAATTGTTCTTATCAAGGTTATGAGTTGGATGATTTAATTGTAACTGGTCAAGTTACATCATCTTCTATTCAACGTTTCCTAGTTCAAACGGATGATGAAACTAATATCAAATCAGGTGTTATAAGAACTGGTAAGAAATAAGATTTTCATAAACTTTGTCATCAATAATGTAGTTCTTTCTTCCAAAGAGAGTTCGTTTTTAGTGTAGCACTTCAATTATTGTTCTTTTTTCTGGATATCAACTTATAAGGGAATTTAATAAGACTTTTATTCGGTTATTTGTTTTAAACTGGGAAATGAAACAACCTATTAATACAGCTTGACATGATAAAATTAACCTTAACGGTTAATAAATATCACATCAAGAACTAGTAAATATAGAAAGTATAGAATAGTTTCGTTCCTTTTGTTCAAGACCCCTTAATAATGTCAGTCATTCTGTAAAAAGTTTATGATCTCAAGACTACGAGTCAGACACTTGTTTATCCAGTTTGGGATACAAAATTACCTGAAAATAAATAACTTTTATAATTATTGGTATTCAGGACTTACTTGGATTAGTCTTTCTTAGTAGTACAAACTTCGTGAAATAATACCTCGATATTACTTAAATTTACACGTTGATCAAAAGTTAACGTCATTCCCGTGCTTAGCTTTTGCCCCACTACAGTCTAATGGGTGACATTTTACAATTTTAAGCTATGAATATTGGGCTCAAGTGCAGATGGGGAGTTTAACGATGAAATTTAGGTACATTCAATTGATGAGTCTTAACTGTGACGAAATACGTGTTCCCCAGAAATCGGTTGATGAACGCCTGGTTTTGTAATTTTATGATGGAAATTTGAATTTCTTATTTTTACTCCAAAAGCCCTTATTTTTCTCTTAATTTTTTAATCGCCACCTGAAAGGACCTTAAATGTCATTGATTCGTTTCCTCTTTTATTACGCTACTTTGTGATGTATTTATGTACTGTATCTTTACGCATGAGTTGTGGGCTTGTTCGATTGTGCTCCCGGCTGTTTGTACAATATATATTTTTTCCAGCTGAATCTGATCTCCCTCCAGTTAACAGGGCTGGGGCGCAGTGGAATAGCTTAGCTTGTCCTGTTGTTTTGTTGCTGACTTTCATTCCATTCGCCGGTGATATTGTAATCTCTTCAAACGTAGCAAGACCAAAGTTCACAATACATATTTCTGTAAGATAATGTTTCTATCTCGATTCAGATAAAAAACTGCTATACTATATTTCCTTATTTCATTGCTTTGTGTTTCAGTTCTGTTTCTAATTAAACTAATGATTTTATTTTAATTAACCGTCGATCCAAAATTTCGATACTTTTTCATATACACCCTTTAACTTTTCTCGAGCCCAAGTTTCAATCCTTAGTTTCTTTTTCATTGTCGCTGCCACGCTATTCTGATCTATTTCACTATATCTTGTTGATTTCATTTTGTTGTAAAAATCCAGCATGGTGACTGGAGCCAAAATAAACATCTCCCAGACTATACTCTGGTGTTGGGTGATCGAAAGAAATATCAGTAGTTTAAAGCAAACTTTATATTTAATTATCACTAACTTTATTTCCCTTGGTTAATTACGTGACCGGTTATGTTAAGCTCTAAGCTTGTTTGTCATTATGTAAATCGAGTTTTTGAAAATTTACTTTTGGCTATCCCCAGTTGTAATCTTGACTATCGGTAAATGGTTGTCATTGCCTTTTGGAGAATTACATTCCTATAAAATAATATATGTTAAAGTATTTTGGTAGTTTACGATTACTTACTTACGCCTGTGACCCCCAAGGAGCATAGGCCACCGACCACCCTGTCCTGATCCGTTCTTTCTAGTTCTATCCAACTGTTATTCATTCTTCTCATGTCTATCTCCATTTCTCGGCGTAATGTGTTCTTTGGTCTTCCTCTTCTCCTTTGGCGTTGAGGATTCCACGTGGGGGCTTGCCTTGTGATGCAGCTGAGTGCTTTCTTCAAAATGTGTCCTATCCACTTCCAGTGCTTCTTCCTGATTTCTTCCTCCATTGAAATCTGGTTTATTCTCTCCAACAGTAGGTTTTTGCTGATAGTGACTGGCCAACGGATACTATAATAGTATGAAACTAATGAAAATATGTGCTATTCTGATCAAACGATCAAATGTTCGCTTTCATTTCATATCGGAATACTCTTAAATTAAAGAAAGTATTATTTGTTTAATTTCAGGCCCAGATATGTTATGTGAAAATTCAGAAATCGATCAGCTTAAGTTTGGTAAAACTGTGATCACTTCCTGTCGTGTTCTTTTGGGTCTTAACGATTTTAAAAATTGCGATAAACTAAGGTAAGAAATAGATTTTGGTTAATTTATTAAATTCACTTGCACTACACTAAATGCCGATTTCCACTTAGTTTGTGACAACATGCAAGCTATCTGTTACTTTGTATTTCCTTTCGCATAAAAATTTATGAGGTGTTATCTTAGTTCTGATTGGTTCACTTTAAGTCGTTAGTATAGTATACTTTCATCGACTTCTCTAAAAACAGGACCTGCTTATCCGTAGTTGTTTAAACGTGTCACCTTGAGTAAAAACCGTTTTCGGTTAAAATGAAACTCACATAGAAACAAGTTTGAGTTATATACTTACATATATTTCGATAGAACAATTAAAGGATAGACTTGATCTGGAAAATATTATTTATTTACTCCATACATTTCGAACAATCTGATCTCTCAAATAGCGGTTTGAGTGAACAAAGGCGAGAGAATAATTGATATTGTATAGAAAGAATGGGAAATTTTCGCCTTACCCTGGGCCATAAAATGAATTAACGATTACCAGAGCAAATTCAAGGTTACGACCAATGATTTTTGTACACATAAAGGGGGGAAGTAAGTTTACGAGTAGCCATAGCTTCCGAAAACCTGAAAATTCGTCCTTTAAAATTTCTATACAACGTTTCAAAAGCTGTCAATTCCGGGCCCCGTTTCAATTATGTGCTTAGCTATCGATGAACATGATCTTCCACTTCCCACGTTGATTGGAACATTTGACATTAACTGATTTTGAAGCCATCTAAGGTTATGGATCATGTGCCTCGACAGATTTATCCTCTTAAGGTTGTTTATTAGTTGATTAATGAAATCGGAAGTGCTATACAGAAGTGAAAAAACAATATATTTTGGATAATTAAATGTTCTCATTGTTAAAATTAGAATAACACATGTAAGCCAACAATTGTTTTCAATTAGATCGTCATCAGGCTTTACTCTAATATACATGAATATTTATACGAAAATGTTAAACCAATCAAGGCAATTTGGGTCAATAATCACAATGAAATAGAATAAGTCACCACACATAATAGGTAAAAGTACAAGTTGATAGTAGGAAGACAGGTGTACTGATAGTAGAAAGAATAATAAAATACTATAACAAAAGTCGGTGAGATTATAATTTATGGGGGACCATTAAGCGACGCTAAACTGAACTCGAGAGTTCTCACCTAATAACTAGGACGAAATGAAGGCTATAAACCCGTGTGAGGAATTAGAATTATGATTTACAATTGATTGTTAGGGTTTAAAAAAATTAGATTTAGGGTTTTCATCACGAACTAACATCAGTTATAATGCCGAAACTCTATTTAACCAAATGGATGAGTGAATTTCGCGCCAAAATCCATGAATTGTTATCTTATATCCATAAATTTTAGTCTATCACAAAAGTCTTGTCAATAGTTAAACATTGGAAATAGAAGATCAAATGTGGGTAAATAGACTTAAAATAATCATCACAAAACATTGAAACGATTAAGTAATAAAAAGTGTATAAATAATTAGATAGCGAAGAATACAAACGGCAAGAGGGGGAAATTACAAACAAATAATGGATGTGAAAATAAGGTTAATGATAACAAAAATAAATAAACATTAAATGGTTTGAATAATTTGTTCTGGTTAGCGTTTTTTATCCAGTTAGTTTTCTACGAGATGGGGTCGCTAACCCTATGCCCAACGCTCCTCCTTTATCCGGGCTTGGGACCGGCAGTGGCCCCAGAGGGGCTACAGGCGGAGTTAACTTTAAGAAAATAATGACAAAATATTACACTCTAAAATTCCCATTAAATATTATCTTATTATCTATGATAGATTATTATTACTATTACTATTATTATTATTATTATTATTATTATTATTATTTAATTATACCGAAAGTTGGACTGTGTATGATTTTTTTTCTTTTTTTGAAAAAATTATTTATAGAAGTCTTATTATTGCACGATTAAATCTATTTATGCCAAGTGAAGTAATTGCAACCTACCCACAAGCATCTAAAACTTCACCAGAGGATTGGATTTTTATACACAGGTTAATATTATATTTCATTAGATATATTATCATTTTCATTGTTTTTATAATCACTAGTACCTACATACTCATAAAATGTGTTTCGTCTTTATTCACGTAACTTATTCGCCAGTCAAAATACGACTTACCCTTTTACTGTACTAAGCCAGTGACGTTCGTTCAGTCTGACCAACCTAGCGTTCTATTGGTCCGTTGCTCGCCTAGCCCGTCCAGCTGAGTCCAGAATGCCAATAACAGCCTCCACTATGTCAATCATTTCATTCAGACATACTAGGTTTATATATCAACCAAACAGATCGCAACGGATCATAAATTAAGAAATAACATTGATACACAATAAAGCTGAAATGTGGCTGTGTACGTGGGGGACAGTAGTTAATAAACTGAGTATAACATAAGAATAGTAAATCGTACAATAATAATCGATCGGTCGAAATGAAGCTTACAATATGGGAAATATAAACATATACAATCTAATTACTGAATAGTTATACCATAAGTATATATAGATAATAGTGGTTCATTAATAGGTCTCAGAATTTACTCGTAATTTAATCTTCACTAGGATATAACAAAATGTGTCGTGTGTTATGTGTTAAATTATGAAAATAAACTATAACTTATTTGATTTTCTTGTTTAAATCACTAAGCAGCTTTAATTCGATAATCATTTAAATTTAGGAAGCAGTAAACTTATTTCCTGATGGTATAAGACACATTTGCAGTTTGTAGTGTAAATTTTAAATTTTAATAGTTTTCATAAATATTTTGCTGTAATAATAATCATGTCATCACTAGTGATCAGTTTTAAGAAATGGTTTTCGATGGATGAATCTGTGACTAGCTTAGTTCAACTATATTGAGTACCAGACAGTTACTGAACAATATCAGTGAAGAAGTAGTTTTACAACAACACAAATTGATCAGAGTTATAAATGTATATCATTAAATGATAATTCAATGATCTAGATATTAAGCGTACTTTGCAAGACATGATTGTTCTGATTGTAATACTCGGTGAGGTTATAAGTAGAGTTAGGTGAGAAGTCTCAGACTTAGACGAAACAGCTGTTCACTTCTTTGTGATTTTCAATGCTTATTCAACTAAGATCAGTTCATGATATGAACTATAAAATTGAACAATTTACACTAAACTTCTATTTTTCAAGTTGATACTTTTAAGAAAGTTGTTCAAATTAAAAAGTTTTTACCGTAGTGCAACTTTCATAAAACAACTGAAATTGGAATAAAAATATGGAGCTGTTACTTTTTGAATTTCAATGATAGTCTAGTTAAAATCAGTCAGCGACGTAAACTATCATTTATGTATTTTGACCAAATCACTCATTTACACATAAGAGGGTGATTAAGGATGAACATATGTATTATTATGTAGCGAAGATTCCGATAGAGTTAATGAAGTAATAAAATTTTGTTACGAATAAACAAAGTTTGGCAGGGAAAGTTCCAGAACATTGAAATAGCCATTAGAACTAATGGAGTTAATAAACATTAGATGATTGTATGATGGAGTAACTGAAAATAGATGGTAATAAAAAAAGATATGAATTGGAATCAGTCGGTTATGAATGATGTAATTTGAAACTTCAGAAACAGTTGAAATAATGAATGACGTAGTAAATAAATAAATAAATTACTAATTATATGAATTGAACTTGTAACATTAGTGTTATAACTGTGACTGAAGATTAGATGGCAGAGAATGATCGATCGGATCAAAGACGCGTAAAACACGTGAGAACAACCTAGAGTCCTGATTGGTCCTGCTTTCCGCCTAGCCCAGTCAGTTAAATCCACAACGCAAGTCTCAGCCTCTGAGATATGAATAATTATATTTCAATCATACTGAGTTTATATACCAAAATCGAACCGACCACAACGTACCAATAAAATATTAAACAACATTTGTACAAGAATTAGCCAGATGTGGCTGTGAATGAGGGAGGTAGTAATCAATATACTGGGTATACCTCAAGAATGGTAAAACGTATAATAATGGTTCGTAGGTCAAAATAAAGCTTATAGTAAGAGGAACATGAATATAAATAGTTTAGTTGTTCAATAATAATAAAATAGAAATATACGTTTAGTATTTGTCCATAAAGGATCCCAAAGTTACCATTCATTATGTTTTTCGGGTCCCAACAATTAGCTATCGGGTAAATTATCATGTAAAATGAACAAATGAACTTTATGTGTTTTAAAAAAAATAAGAAACAGTAATAATTTTGCACTAATTGGTCATTTAATAATAAGCAATATCGTATTGCTGGTTCATTTCTACTGGTTGAATGAGAATAATTTGACATTAATTGTATACACTACTTTCACCGTTAGTGAATTGAACGTAGTAGTCAGCAAATTCTGAATTTAAGTTTTACATTATTAATATTAATATTAATAGATCACTTGCTAAAAACTAATGTTATAATGAACAATTTATAAAACGAGTGAATTTCCTTCAATCTCTATCGATTAATTAATATCAAAGAGGAACTATAGGTAGTATTAAGGGTTTGTGAAAATTGATGAGTTTGCTAGTTTATAGTACAGACTGATCTTAGTTAAATAACTATTTAGAAACAGGAAAAACTAAACAGCCATTACCTCTCTAGTACGAGCATTCTCAACAGTATACATTCGCCACCTTACCTGAAATTAAATCCAGGACTTTCAGGTTCCCTAACTAATGCTTAACCATTCGAACATTGCGTCAGCGTCCAATGAGAAAATTCGAGCCTAAATCAATTTGTGATATGGAACGTTTATCATTCGATGCCACTGTAGACAACAGTTTCACCCGCGACATGTTTAAAGGAACATTATTTAATTTATGAAAGTAATCAGTGTTCAACAGTTTTAATGTTCAACATATCCTTTCGTTTGAATTTCTGGTTCACAGTGGCTTATTTATTATTAGAATATGTAAGTATTAGTTGCCAACTTATATCCAAGGTAATAAAAACTGCTAAAACAGTTAACATTAAGTATAAAGAAGATAAAAAAATAATCAATTTAATGTTACTCACTGACCTTTAACTAAATATAGAGACTAGCCTTTAATTAATCAGTAGAAAGCAAACAATAGAGTAATGGCTACATAGAGTTATGATTATATAACTTTCACATTATGTTCAAACTTTTCTTGTTCAATTTTCAGAAATGATCCTGTTTTACAATTATCAACTGGAAACGATAATACATCTTCTCTCATTTCATCAATTGGCTTCTGTCCAAATATAACATCTACTATGTATTTAAAAATAATCTCTGCAATTCAAGGCAAATTACAAGGTATACCATTAAGACAAATTATATCTGCATCAATTGAGTAAGTTTTATTTATTAAACTTAATAACTTACAAAGTAACTGATTATTAAGTGTAATCAATAAATTTGATGACATTTTTAATTCCAAAGAATTTTAATGTTTATAACTTATGGAAATCGTCATCAAAAAGACCATTTTTTCTGAAAGCATCGTAGTGAACGAGATACACAATTGAAGACAATCGAATATATAGTTGAACATAGCATTACAGCACATTTTAGTAAAATCTGTGAACTATACAGTAAATACTTGATTTGCAAAGTATCAATCATTTTGATGGTTTATCAAGAACCAATCAACGTCAAGGTGTACAAGACAAGCTGTGAACCGTATGTGGAGAAATTTGAACACTTCATCTCTATCTGAAGTTTGTGCTGATGATGTCGTTCAGAAGAACCATGAAAGCTCCACGACCAAACCATCCAGCTTAGAGAAAAAAACTCCATCAAAATCATCTACCTGAGCTAGAAATCTTCTCTACCATCTCAAAATGTCAATCAATTGTTTCAAACTTGACTGTTCCTCTTGCAAACAACAGTCAATCGTCTTAGACTTCATTGTTCCTGAATTTTTACACCGATTGTTTTCTGTTCCCATTCTTACCTTCTCGACCTTCTGCTGCCAAACATTCTAATCCTGACTCTCTTTATATTCCACTCATGTCGATATAAGTAGCACACACCACAATATCACCGTGTATTATGTGTTGGTATACTGTTAAAAAGTGTGGTTTATCATATAGTTATTTCAACAGTTAAAAAAATCATTCATTGGAATAATCTACATGAAGTGTATAAGTTTATAGTTTCTAATGATGTTTATCAATTCTAATGCTTTCACATTTGAAATTTAGATAAATAACAGTTTCTTCAGTTTTCGATACACTCTAATGGATAATGTTTTATGATGATGATAATGATGATGATGATGATTGCCAATAAAAGAGACAATATCTGTGCTATCTATTCATCAAATGTTTGTTTTATAATCTATTTAATTCTAATTCTAATTTCGAAAATAGTTGTCAAATGTATCGACAAATATCTGTGTCCTCTCCTCTCCCTTTCCCCTTCCCAGAAAAAGAAACGGATAATTCTATTTTTGATTTGATGATTTGAACACATAAATATTAGTACAAGGGGGCACTAGATACATATGCACCACACGAATCTCATTTGATTTGTGTGAGGGTTGTGATACTGCTCGAGTGCCCAGAGTGAAGCAGGATTCTATATGTGGGAATATAAACGAACATTTTACGTTGCTTTTTTTCTTTTCAGTTACCATGGTGTATTATTTGTTGTTATTCAATAAATACAGTGTTTGTTTTTTGGTAATAGAAGTTAATCTATAGAAGTTAATTTATTTGTATTTAAAATATCTCATTAATGAATTCTAAATTAACTTTCATTTGTAAAAGATAACTGTCACATATAAGTTGATGATGAGCAACAGTCATATGTGTGAAACTGAATTACATTTATGCACTTGCCAACGAATAAAATATATTACAGTATAATGTTGTTTAGCGTATTGGAGATATTGAAGTTTAAAATTCACCTCTCATAAAACTTTATTAAAGGTTATCAGATTATCCCTGCGAACTTTGTAAATAACGAATTCATACACATAATGAATAGTTTCATATCATTACCGTAATGATTTTTGATTTAAACTATAAGACACTAACAAAAATATCTACTCAAAATTAGTTTTTATCACAGAATGATATTAGTTGAAGAATTATGGAAAATTAAAGAGAATTGAATAACTTCATAGTATAGATTTGACAATGTTTAGTAACGCTCATTTCCTAGTTCCAGGTAGGTATAATATATTTAAATCAGTTAAATGGAATTCGATTATAGAATTGTTGAACTTCAGACAATGACTTCTTACAAAAAATTTCGCAGATTCATCTTGAAGTTAGTCACGAGTAGTGATATACTGTTATAAAATGCCCCCAAATGCCCTTGTACGGCCGAGAGTGGGGAGAGTCAGCTCTACCTCCCGAAATGCTCTCACATGGCCACGCATATATAGCCTCTGTCAGGGAAGTCCTACTCACTGCCTTCTCGTGGTTGGAGCGTTGTTTACGGAATTGAGAGGACAAAAAGTAAATGTCAGGCGCTTTAATCGGGTTGGTGGACACAGTGAGTCCATTTAGGGGAGTTGAAAAACCCTGAATCCAAACCAATGGTGTACATGGGCTCCAGTACCCTGAAGGAACAAATGACGTATGAACCCATCGTTGGTCACTGGCTACCATGGGACTGCATCTCCTTACGACACTCTACTGCCTTGTGGATTAGACCTTTAGGTTGAAGGTTCTGGCTGTGGCCCCCTAAGAAAACCACCTGCTTTGGTTTGGGCACCCGGGCAGTATCACAGCTCTCACACAAATCTCATTTGATTCGTGTGGCGCATATCTATTTGGTGCCCCCTTGTACCAGTATATATGTCTTCAAATAAATAAATAACTGTCATACAGTACATGATAGAAACTATTGTCTTGAAATTCAACAAACTTTACAAAAACGTTTTTTAGATATTCACAAGAAGATTGGCAATTAATATGTGATTACACAATATATCCATCATTCTGTAGAAATTCAACTATCTTAAATGATGTACAATATTTTTATCTTCGTATAATTGTTATACATTCTGATATATCAGATAAAGAAGAACAATTAATGATAAATGAACAATTAAATTGTGATTTAGATAATTGTTGGAATCATGCATTCTATGCTTGGACAGGATTAATTAAATTCTATCAATTAGCTGGTAAATATGAGCAAACATTTGAAATTGGAGTAACATTAGGTATATCAAGTTTGATTATCATTATTTTATTTATAACTAAACCTTTCTTTTGAAAAGAATATGTAAATATCCTTTTGACATATTGTCTTCCATCTAATGTATGATGTTAATTCTAGACTGTTTCTTTGTAGTTTTATTATGTGATTACATTAGATTACATTGTTATATATGTGTATGCTTTATAAAAAACTGAACTTAGGATAACAAAAGAATAACTTTCTTGTCATATTTTGATACTTTTCAGTATTTAAAGGGGGAGAATTTTTCGATTTACTGAATGAGGTTTGTAAATGTTAGAATTAATCATTACAATGTTGATGAATAAATAAATTTAATTATATAATAAGTTCAAGTGATAGTTGAATCAAACTTCTTTAATGAACTGTTAGCGGGACATAGATTGGATTAAAGCATGCTCAATGCACGATTGCTTTACTGCACGCTGATTGGCTAATTCTTATCCAATCAGCGCTAGTCGATACTTGGTGAATACTCTAGAATCTTCTCATGTAAAAACTATAAATATACTAACGTTTTCCTTACTTACTTGCTTCTTACTTCCATCTAACCTTGTTATTTGGAGTACAATCTCTTTCCTTTTCAACCGTGTTCTGATTGGGGGACTTGTCGAGTGAATCGGTGTCCGAGAATACTAAGTAATAGCAATAGCTGGGTCATAACCGTAAGAAAGAGATTATAACATGAACCGATATCAAAAGCATAAAATACTAGCCGTAAGAACAGATCTTTCAGCTTATATACAGATCTGTTACAGGAAGAATGATATGATTAGGTGTCGTGAACAATTACAGAATATCACCTTTATAGGTCATTTAATCCTTAAAGATTTTAATGTTAAACCCGATTCTTTGACACCCTATTGTAGTGAACAAGAATGCCAGTGGGATAAATCGAACATATTAAAACATGAAACTACAGAATATTTCACTAAAATCTGAGAACTATGCAGTAAACACTTAATTTTCTAAATATCAATCCATTGTCTCAAACTTGACGGTTTCTTTTGCAAATATCAGTACATCGTCTCAGATTTGATTGTTTCTGCATTTTCGTACCAATTGCTTTACGTTCTTGTTCCTTCCTCTTCGATCTTCAACTGAAATACATTCTATACCTGACTACTGTTATATACTACTTATGTGTGTATAAGTAGCGTACACCACACTATCACTTGTTTTCTTCAGTATTTCCTGCAGTTTAAAGATTTCATTTTTATATGTTTAGTATGACATCACTCATGGAAATTGTGACATACATAGATATAGATCGTTTAGTAAACAATGGATAAACCTGATTATCAGCGTATACATCATATTGAAATCTATAAACCCAGATTTTAATGTTTATTGACTGGACTTCAAGTTTGGATGGGCAACACTTTTAATAACTCTATAAATATGGCGATACTAAAATTTATGGACGGACCAGTCAGGTTCACATTAACGAATCCTGAATTTTGAGGCGAAAATAATCAATTAATTTGACTAAATAGAGTTTTGGTATTATAGCTGATGTCAGACCGTGATGAAAACCTTATATCTAATTCCTAACCCTAACTATCAAATGTAAATATCAATCCTAATTCTTCACATCGGTTTATAACCCTCATTTACTCGTAGTATATAGGTGGTCATTCTCAAGGTATTTTTAGCGTCGCTCATTGATCATCCATAAACTATAGTCTTACCGTAAAAATATATTATAAGTAAGTAATGAATTACAGTGGATATTCTTCTTTTACATGATTTAAAAACTTATCAAGGTTTGATAAAGGTTCAGAGGTTTTGAATTCATAATGCATACGGTATAGAAACTCGCCCATAGTGTTACGGTCACGGTGACGAGACTCTAATATAGGGACGAGACAATCAGAAGCGTTTGAGCAATTTCAGGGTCACGAAGCCAAGTTCAACACGTGATGCTAACATACGATCAGTTTACAGCGGATTTAAGAGAAGAGGTGATTATTGAGAGGCTACAACACTAACCCTATGGACGAGTTTCTATACCGTATGCCTTATGAATTCAGAACCTCTGAACCTTTATCGAACCTTGACAAGTTTTTAAATCATGTTAAAGAAGAATATCCACTGTAATTCATTACTTTCTTATATTTTTACTTTATACTAACTGTCTTCTGATTGGCTCGTCCCTAAATTAGAGTCTAGCCGAAACACAATTTTTTTGAAACTTAAGTTTGATAAGGCTAAGTTAGGACCATTATCTTTTACGCTTTAAGTTTTGTGACTTTAAGAAAACGTTTAATAGAATGAACGTTGAAATTCAATTTGAATACCTTTATGCCCAAACGGTAGAACTAGTAACTCCATCAAAAGATAATGTCGAGAGTTTTAAATCAACATTGGTGAACTGAAACATGGACACAATATGAAAGAGATTTTAACCAAAAAGAAAGGTAAGGAAATTTAAAACTGTTATGACCTTAAATTGTGATAGATCCGGTGACAGTGACACGTAAACACGTAATGGACGACCTAGTGCCCTGATCGGCCCTGCTTCGCTGTCTGTCCTAGCCAGTTGAGTCCAGAACACAAGTCACAGCCTCTGGGTTATGAATCTTTATATTTCAAACATACTCTATTTATATACTAATCAAGCATACCACATCGTACCATAAAAATAGAAAACAACATTTTGTACAATATTCACAAGTGAACAGATATCGACCAATAGAAAATGTCCATTTAAAGTCCAAGGACACCATTGGACTTAGCATGATAATTATTGGTCTATTTCTCCGCATCCACAACAAAAACCAATGGCAATTTATTAATCACAAAACTAGACAAAGGTTGTGGTGTAGTATTCATGGATAAAAACGACTATTAAGTCAGGATAAAGGCTTTTTTAAATGATAAAAGTAAATTTCGGAAACTGGTGGTGAAGAATGATTCACAGAAAGCATTGAAAAATAAATCAAACAATAAAGTTTGATTTCGGAAATAGTGTCCGAAATATTGAGATCTACGAGAACGATAACACCAAGGCTATATGGTCTGCCAAAAATAATTAAAAGTGGCTTGCACCTTCGACCAGTTTTAGATATGAGTATTCCAGTCAATCATACTTAAGTAAACTGGCTATTTCGAATTTTCAATCCGCTGCACAAAGTAATCGTTAGGCATAGCGTCTAGGATTCCTTTGAATTTCTTCATAATATAAAAAATCTGTCGGTCAAAAATAACTTCATGATATCATTAGATGCATCGTCGTTATTCACACTAACATTCTCGGAACTGAAACTCAGGAACTAACAGAGATGTACATAGAAATCTAAATTCCCGTATCTGCAATTAGACTGATAATTCTAAGTTGCATGATGACTGCCTACTTCCGAGTAGAGAATGAATACTATAGACAATTGGATGTACAGCCATGGAGTCACCTTTGGACCATCTGTTGGCAGACATTTTTCTTGCAAATCTAGAAAATGGAACACTTAAGGACACTATCTGTTATCTAATATCGCACTGTCTCTGTATAGATAATACTTTCATGGTATTAAAAAAGAACACGTAACCTGCTTGGTATGAACGTAACCCCAACGAAATTCATCAGCAAACACATGAATGAGACGAAATGAAGATCAAATGTATCTACTTTTCCTTCTTGTTTGAGCAAAAGATAGGTAAGAGTGATTAAGAGTTCTATTTTCCTTCACTTAGCGGACACATGTCATCAAATTGACTTAAATAAAGCTTTTCAGGTTATCCACCATATTCCATCAAATTTACCTCATGGTTAACGCCCTCATCTTTCTGGTATTGCTGATGTCATTAGAATCCATGTTCATAAACCAAACCTTTGAATCCAAAAAACGTTTTTACAACCACTCTCGCTACCTTGGCGATCGGTATTGGATTGAGTCTGTAGCTGAACTTTGGTGCAACCCTGTGGTGTTTGAACGAACTAATGATACTTTTGTACTTGTTGATTGCTCGATTTCAAATTACAAATACAATACATTTGTTTGTGCTTGTGTCTTAATTCTTAATTCAGTTGCGTTAATTCTGGATTCCTAGTTTATACGATAATCCAAATAGATGTGAATATTGTACTGGCGTCGCGATGGAGCCTGCGATTGAAAAGTTAGATATTCATTCGACTTCGGAAGCTTTAGAGGATTATTTGGAAAGGTTTGAAATCTGGAGCATGACTAAGAAAGATGTTAAAGGTGATAAAATTGTGGAAAATTTCCTGACATTCATCGGTAGAGAAGCGTACAGCTTATTAAAAACTTTGGCATATCCAGAAAAACCTATCTCACTTCCTTATGCAGTTTTTAAGGAGCTATTATTAAATCATGTGAAGTGCACCAGTTTTGAATGACGTGAAAGGGCGAAATTTCATAAGATGGTTCGTCAAAATGACCAAAAAGTTCGGGAATTCATCCTTGAATTACCGAAACAAGCTGCCAAGTGTAATTTCGGTGATCAACTTCATGTGCAACTGAGAGATCGATTAATGGCAGGAATTAACATACCGAGTTTGGAAAGAGAGCTGTTAAGAATGCCAAACTGTTCCTTTCAAGATGCTAGAACTGCGTGTATTAACTACGAAGCAGTGAATGAACTTGATATCTAGTCGACGAAGATTTCTTATACTTTGCTTAGTTGTCATGATGAACTACAATCTCAGGTTTAATCAAACTTGAGTTCGTTTAACAGCGATTCCTATTCTCGTGTAAATACGTAAGGGGTTTCGACAAGGAATTACAAAGCAAATCACAAAGGTGAGATGAAGTTTGGTAAATGTTTATCATGTGGAAAGCTTCATTCCCGTAATTCATGTACATTTCGTAATGCTAAATGTTTTAAATGTGATAAGATAGGACACATTCAGTCAGTATGCAAAGCTATTGTCCATTTCGCTTCAAGTAGTACTAAATCTTGTCATTTAAATCTCAATAATTCGGATGTTTCTAGTGATCATTTATCTTTGTCTACTGTTTCGAAAGGTAATGCTCATATTCAAAAGCGACTATATACATCGCTCGGTTCATTTCATGACTTTATTGTGGACACAGGCAGTGTAGAGTCCATTATTTCATTCAAGAACTTGAAATCGTTAGATCCTAACGTTGTGGTACGACCCACTGAAGTATCAGTATTAGGGATTACTTGACATAAACTGCCCATACGAGAATGTTGTGAATTGCTAATAGGAGGTGATAATTCTTCATAC